GGGTCAATTGACAATTTTGGTTATACAAAAATTATTTGTAGATCTTACTTTGCTGAACATTTTTGCTGATTACAGTTTATCTTTATCTATAATAATATTTAAGATAATAACCAAAAACTGCAAAATTTCCTTAAAATTACCAATTTAGTGGCAGCAACCCAACAATGGGTTGTTAGATTCATCTGAAAATTTCAGGGCTGATAGAACTTGACCTAATGAACATTTTTAACCATGTCAGATTTGCTCTAAATGCTTTAGTTTTTGAGATATAAGCCAATAAACAGCTGTGCCATGAGCGCATGATACGCCCGTTGTGTCTTCAAAGAATAAAGATCAATAACTTCTCAATGTTATATCAGAAGTTTATAAAAAAAAAAAATAATGGGAGGTTATCTTAATAGATATAAATCATTCATCAAAGTTTAATGAAAACTGCTCAAAGCACTTTAAGGATATCATCCAAAAACTTGAAAATCACCCCTTTTTTACGAATAAATCGGAAACGTAAAATCTAAAATTCATGAAAATCAAATTCGAGCTTACAACAATAGATTAAAAACAATTTAACATAGTTTCATGAAAACTGCTGTAAACATTTTTGAGTTATTGTCCGAAAACTTTAAAATCCCCCTTTTTTTAATAAATAAAACCCCATAACTAGTAAACGTAAAATCTGAAATTTATAAAAATTAAAAGGGAGCTTACGTCAATAGATATAAACATTTCACCAAAGTTTCAGGAAAACTGCTCGATGCATTTTTGAGTTATTGTTCGAAAACTGGAAAATCCACCTTTTTGTAATGAATAAAACCCCATAACTCGAACATGTGAAATCTAAAATTTATAAAAATCGAAAGGGACCTCATGTCAATATATATAAACAATTCACCAAAGTTTCTTGCAAATTGGTGAAAGTGTTTATGAGTTATTGTCTGAAAACTGGAAAATCACCCTTTTTGTAATGAATAAAACCCCAAAACTCAGAAACTTAAAATATAAAATTTATAAAAAACAAAGGGGAGCTCACGTCAATAGATATAAACAATTCACCAAAGTTTCATTCAAATTGGTTAAAGCGTTTTTGAGTTAATGTCCAACATGTTGACGACGGACGGACAGACGGATGGACGGACAACGGTATACCATAATACGTCCTGTAAACTGGCTTATAAAAACTGTATTTTACCCCTATGTTCTATTTTTAGCCATGGCAGCCATTTTTTTTTGACGAAACAGAAAATAAAACACAAACTTTATTCTAGATACCCTAAGGATCGTTCAGCTTAAGTTTGGTTGGAATTGGTTTAGTAATTTCTGAGGAGAAGATTTTTTAAAGTTAGAAAACATGATAACACATTGTGTAAAATTTTACTTAAAGGGCAATAACTCCTTAAGGGGTCAATTGACAATTTTGGTTATACAAAAATTATTTGTAGATCTTACTTTGCTGAACATTTTTGCTGATTACAGTTTATCTTTATCTATAATAATATTTAAGATAATAACCAAAAACTGCAAAATTTCCTTAAAATTACCAATTTAGTGGCAGCAACCCAACAATAGGTTATAAGATTCATCTGAAAATTTCAGGGCTGATAGAACTTCATCTAATGAACACTTAAACCCCATGTCAGATTTGCTCTAAATGCTTTAGTTTTAGAGATATAAGCCAAAAACTGCATTTTACCCCTATGTTCTATTTTTAGCCATGGCAGCCATGTTTTTTGACGAAACAGATAATAAAACACAAATTTAAACATGCAAATTGGTTAAAGCTTTTTGAGTTATTGTCTGAAAACTGGAAAATCCCCCTTTTTTAAAGAATAAAACCCAATAACTCGGAAACATAAAATCTAAAATTTATCAAAATCAAAAGGGAGCTTACGCAATAGATATAAACAATTCACCAAAGTTTCGTGCAAATTGGTTAAAGCGTTTTTGAGTTATTGTGGGACATGTTGACGACGGACGGATGATCAGATGGACGGACCAACAGACAGACACACAACTGTATACCATAATACGTCCCATAAATGGGCGTATAAAAATCATGCCAACTTCAATAAAATGCTTCGCTGGACGCAGCTTGATACGACCGCAGAGGTCGAACCCTGAACAGTTGGGGCAAGTATAGACACAATATTCAAGCTTGATACAGCTCTGAATTTGGATTGTGATTAAAAATTTGACACAGCATAGGTTTCTGACACAGAAAGAATGTGGTCTAAGAACTTGAATTTTTTTAATTTACCTATTATGGTCCAATGTCCAAAATCAAAATACATGCTTAGATTCAGCATATCAAAGAACCCCATATATTCAATTTTTGTTGAAATCAAACAAAGTTTAATTTTGGACCCCAACTTGGACAAACTTGAAAACTGGGCCCATAATCAAAAATCTAAACACATGTTTAGATTCAGCATATCAAAGAACCCCAAGAATTCAATTTTTGTTAAAATCAAACTAAGTTTAATTTTGGACCCTTTGGACCTTAATGTAGACCAATTTAAAAAACGGGACCCAAAATTAAAAATCTAAATACACGGTTAGATTTGGAATATCAAAGAACCCCAATAATTCAATTTTTGATGAAATCAAAGTTTAATTTTGGACCCTTTTGACCTCAATATGAACCAATTTGATAGCGGGGCCCACAAATAAAAAATCTAAATACATGGTTAGATTCAGCATATCAAAGAACCCCATATATTCAATTTTTGTTGAAATCAAAAAAAGTTTAATTTTGGACCCCAACTTGGACCAACTTAAAAACTGGGCCCATAATCAAAAATCTAAACACATGTTTAGATTCAGCATATCAAAGAACCCAAAGAATTCAATTTTCGTAAAAATCAAACTAAGTTTAATTTTGGACCCTTTGGACCTTAATGTAGACCAATTTAAAAAGCGGGACCCAAAATTAAAAATCTAAAAACACGGTTAGATTTGGCATATCAAAGAACCCCAATAATTCAATTTTTGATGAAATCAAACAAAGTTTAATTTTGGACCCTTTTGACCTCAATATGAACCAATTTGATAGCGGGCCCTCAAATAAAAAATCTAAATACATGGTTAGATTCAGCATATCAAAGAACCCCATATATTCAATTTTTGTTGAAATCAAACAAAGTTTAATTTTGGACCCCAACTTGGACCAACTTGAAAACTAGGCCAAAAATCTAAAATCTAAATACATGTTTAGATTCAGCATATCAAAGAACCCCATATATTCAATTTTTGTTGAAATCAAACAAAGATTAATTTTGGACCCCAACTTGGACCAACTTGAAAACTGGGCCCATAATCAAAAATCTAAATACATGTTTAGATTCTGCATATCAAAGAACCCCATATATTCAATTTTTGTTAAAATCAAACAAAAAAGTTTAATTTTGGACCCTTTGGACCTTAATGTAGACCAATTTGAAAACTGGACCCAAAATTAAAAATCTAAATACACGGTTAGATTCGGCATAACAAAATAAATAAATGTGGTCAAAGATTTTACAAATCTATTGCGCCACATGTGCAATTAAAGATTACTTCTTGAAATTTTTTCAATATTTGAAATTTGAAAAAAAAGTAATATTTGAAGAATAATTCTTTTTAATTTCTGAAATCTGAAATGATCCCCCACAATTTCTTTTTACCCCCCCCCCCCCCCCTTTTTCCCCAAAAAAAATTCTTTCCCTCAAGATATAGTCATAATCTCAATTCAAATTTCCAATGGAGTCTGCAACCATAATTACCCATTTAAATTTACCATAGTGCTAACTTAATCTATTTTATAATAGAATTTAAAATATAGTGTCAAATCTTTCATATGGATTTTTTTGTAAAAAAAAATAAATATTTTTACTGGTCTTCCTTTATAAATATGCATTTCTTTAAACATAATTTAAAAGCAGTGTAAGGGAAGCAACCAAAACGTTGTATTTGGATTACCTCCCTTACACTGTTTTAAATTATCTTAATTGTTCATTAACCATTACTTTATACATAATTTAAAAGCAGTGTAAGGGAGATAATTTCAATGATGTATTTGATTTATCTCCCTTACACTGCTTTAAATTATGTTTTGTACTAAAGTATTTGTCCATTAGCCAGGACAACCTTGTTTTTCCCCCTTTTTTGCCCCTAATTCCTAAACGGTTTGAGCCATAACCCCCAAAAGCAAATTCTAACCATCCCTTTGTGGTATGGAAACTTGTAGTATAATTTCAGAGAGATCCATACACCATTCCACAGTTATTGTCTGGAAACTAGAAAATGCTTATTTTTGGCCCCTAATTCCTTAACTGTTGGTACCATAACCCCCAAAATCAATCCCCACCTTCCTTTTGTGGTATTGAACCTTATGGTAAAATTTCAAAGAGATCCATTCACTTAAACTAAAGTTAGAGTGCGAAAACCAATGTGTCTTCGGACGACGACGACGACGCCAACATCATACCAATATACGACCACAAAAATTTTTTGCGGTCATATAAAAATTGCTTACTGTAAATTCAGAAATTATTGCGATGTTTTTATTTTTGCGAAAAATGCGACAAGGTTATTATCGCAATAATTTAAACTCGCATTTTGAATTTTTTTATATGAAATGAACAGGATATTTCTAAATATCGCAAAAATTTAAATCGCATTTTAATCTAAAGTGACAAAATCGCAATAATAAATGCACGCAATAATTTCTGAATTTACAGTATCTTGGAAATGCACAGTTCTAGGTATGACAGTCATCCTAAGGCTAATTCAACCAAAAATTTAGACTTTTCACAACTTTTTTTTTACTGTACTGCGGTCTGAAACCAGAAGAAGTGGCTTCTAAGATAGAAATTATATAATCCTTTACAGGGCGAGTAATTATATTTCCAGGATTAATTTTTTTGGGGAAGTTTGAAACTTCAGAACTATGGTGTGGGCCAGCTGGAGAGGGGTAGACAACTCCTCTAAAATCTTTCTCCTAATTCAATTTACAAACTTATATCGGCTCAAACTGCAAATTTTTTTATTTCACTTTGGAATGTTATTATATATGTTATACATGTCCAAACATTTTACCAAACTAAACCATATGTTTATTACTGTCAATCAATCAATTATTACATATAAATGACATAAGGCATTGATCAATGAATCCTAAAGTAGTAAATCAATATAATACTTTCTATAGACCTTTGACAGAAGTTTTTAACATTCATTCCATATATTTTTTGAAAAAAAAAATATTCAAAATGTATCTATCTCCTATTCACAAAATAATACAGACTTGTAGTACTAAATTAATATCATAATTCTGTAACTATATTTTTTTCCAGATAAGCAGATAGCAGCTACATGTAGTAACTTTTATTCCTTATTTCTAAATCTTTTGACCGATGAAATGTTAAGATCCATGGTAGTAAAATACATGTCTTTTAATTTTTTCTCAACTTTCTCACTATATAAATCTTGTCTGAATAGAAGCTTCATTCATATATTTTACAAAATATACAAAGCAGCTTATAAGTGACACAAATAATTTAACATATATATAAAGTAACACTTGTCTCGCAATATTTGACAGCAAGATAATAAATATTTCCTAGAATGATTCAATACACAATCCTCTTCAACTACACCATAATGTTTTAAATTTGCCTTCCAAAAACACAGGAATGTAGTTTACTACAAAGTGGTCTATTAAAATGGTCATTCTCAATCAAATCTGAGATCACAATTGAATGCTGTCCTTCTTCAGTTACTTTGTCAACAAATGTCATCAGGACTGAGTTTAAGCCTTTTCTACTACACAGTATACCCTTGAGATTCACTTTAGTCTGTTCATGTTCTGAGTAGATCACAGAATTTTTCAATGCATTGCACAGCTTTACAACATTGTACGGGCTGATGAAATGTACATATCATTATACCATAGGGAAGATTACAAACTGCCAGACCATCTCTGTCACTTTCTGATGTTGCATAAATACTGTAAAAATATACAACTAGATCAAATATCAAAGTATTGTGGACAGCTAGGCCTGTTTTTAGCCTTAGACAATTATCTTTTTTTTAAACTACTCATTATGAGGCTTGTATAGGGTATATTGGGATACGGGATATTTGCCATTTTAATTTTAGGGATATGGGATATTTGTCCTAAAAATAAATGGGATATTGGATATTGGTGCATTTTTAGGGATATTGAATTTTGAAAATGAAAAATGAAAAAAAAATGTGAAAATTAAAAGTTATGTACAGAAATATTAAGATCTCACTTGATAAAATTGCCGAAAAAAATTTACTAGAAAAAGTTATTTAAGTGCTTTGTTGATTTTCATTGAGTTTTGCTATTATAAAACACCCATGCAAAACGCATCCCAAATTGCATGATAGGACCCAACACGTACTATTGATCACTATTTTAGTGTTTCGGCAGTTAAAGCTTGGGATTAGAGGCTCTGGCTTGGGATGGTCATTTTAGATGCATTATTTTAATATAATCAAATATGAAAATTATTCATGTATATATTGATATATTTATATATTAATTCTTCATCAATAGGTCTAGTTATTATGACAGATCTGCCATCATCAAGGGTCCAACTGTCAATTTTATGTTAAAGTCTTCAACTTTGATCTACTAAGCATATCTCCAACACTTTTATGTTTGCTATACGCAACTATTGGTGCAGCATTGAATATTTATACACAATCTTCGTCAAACTGTAATAAATGCCCATTTCTTTATTTTACGTATATATATATATGGGTTATATTTAGTTATCAAAACTAACGGAATATTTTCTTTTTCGATTTATTTTGCTGTAATAATTCAGTACGGTCAATTGATAAAGCATCAGTAATACTATCATCTATTTCGACGTTATCATAATCCCTATCTAATAATTTCACTTTGAAATTAGTAAGATTGTTTATTAAATTGTTATGGTCATTTGTGTTTCTAATTTGCCGTATTGCTTCACCTTTAATAAATCCTCGGAATACATGCTGTGAGTGAGTACAGCTATTTCTATGCAGATAGAGATAAGAATTTGTTTCTTTAAAATGTACTTCAAGGTCAAGAATGCCATGTGTTGTAAATCTTTGACCTTTAATTACATGAACATCTAAGAACGACATTTTATCGTTTGAGATTTCATAGGTGGACTTCAATAAGGGGTTATAATTATTTGCTAGACGAAAAGAATCTGCAATTTCATCTGATGTTCCATCATATATTATGAATCCATCGTCCCTATATTTTTAACCTATAATATAAAATTAAACAGACCTGGAAAAACCCTATTGCACGAGTTTGCTATCAATTTATATCTATATTTATGTTTATAAATCACTTATATGACCGTCGGCAGTCTTCGGAGGTCGACTCGATAGTTAATTAGATGGCGTCTAGACTAAAATACACAAGAAACGATGAAACATATTATCAAGCCCATGCCTTGTAAATTGTTTATTTTATACTTTTATAATTTGGATATATGTTTTAGTATGCTATAAATCAAATATGAGAATTTGAGTCAAATCGATGAACATGAATTTGACAACCAATGCCCCTTTAAATGAATCTAGTTGGCAGTAATGTTGAGTATTTAGTTGTCTTGTGACTTCTGTTATGTAGTCTAGTCTGTCTGAAATAACACAATTTGAATTGTTATCTGCCTTTTTTATTACTATTGTTTCATCATTTTTCAAATTGCGTACTTGCTATTCTTTCGCCCTTAGTAAGATTGTTTTTTTTTTTATTTATTAGAAAAGATAATTCAAGCTTTGTTAAATCGATATAATTTTCCGACGTTTGGCACGTAGAAGCAGGTTTATATCCTGTATTGCTATGAAATGGATGAAGGTCATTTTTGTCGAGCCTTCGACTTTTATCGAAAAAGCGAGACATAGCGATCCTACATTCCGTGGTCGGCGGCGGCGTCCACAAATATTCACTCTGTGGTTAAAGTTTTTGAAATTTTAATAACTTTCTTAAACTATCCTGGATTTCTACCAAACTTGGACAGAAGCTTGTTTATGATCATAAGATAGTATCCAGAAGTAAATTTTGTAAAAAAAAATTCTAGTTTATCCGTATTTTACTTATAAATGGACTTAGTTTTTCTGCCAGGAAACATTACATTCACTCTGTGGTTAAAGTTTTTAAAATTTTAATAACTTTCTTAAACTATCCTGGATATGTACCAAACTTGGACAGAAGCTTGTTTACGATCATAAGATAGTATCCAGAAGTAAATTTTGTAAAAAAAAAATTTTTTTTTTCCGTATTTTACTTATACATGGACTTAGTTTTTCTGCCAGGAAACATTACATTCACTCTGTGGTTAAAGTTTTAAAAATTTTGATAACTTTCTAAAACTATCCTGGATTTGTACCAAACTTGGAAAGAAGCTTGTTTATGATCATAAGATAGTATCCAGAAGTTAATTTAGTAAAAAAAAAATCAATTTTTTCCGTATTTTACTTATAAATGGACTTAGTTTTTCTGCCAAGAAATATAACATTCACTCGTGGTTAAAGTTTTTAAAATTTTAATAACTTTCTTAAACTATCCTGGATTTGTACCAAACTTGGACAGAAGCGTGTTTCTGATCAAAAGCTAGTATCTAGAAGGAAATTTTGTTAAAATTTTGTACCTGTTTTTCTTTATTTTACTTATAAATGGACTAAGTTTTTCTTCCAGTTAACATTACATACAGTCTGCAGTTAAAGTTTTTAAAACATTTATAAGAATCATAAACTATCCTGGATTTTTACCAAACTTGGACAGAAGCTTCTTACAATCAAAAGATAGTATCGAGAGGAATATTTTTATTAATTTTTTTCCTCATTTTTGTTGAGCCTGCGATTAACAGCAAAAGTAGGCGAGACACGCGGAACCCTTACAAATTTTTTTCTTCATGACTGAACATATATCGACATCGCAGTTGTCTAGCAAATTCACTGTAGTCTTTTAGTATAGACATTTTTGCTTGATGGAGTTGGTATAAATTTCAAGCCTTTCGCCAACAGGATATATTCCTGATTTGATAATTTGCATTTTAATAGATTAACTACATGCTTTTTTGCATGTGGAGCTCTTTGCTGCATATTATATTCATTCCGTTCTTTTTTTTTTATTGTAGAGAATTGGATTTTTTGCTTCTTAGCATTTCTATTAAAACAACGTGTCATCTGTGAGTTCACATTGGGTGATTCTCTTAGCTACGTGCCTTTGATGAGCTCACATTTGGTGGCTATTGCTTATCTCTACAGTAACTTTTTATTTGTTACAAACGCTTAGTTATATTTTGGTTATTCCAGAGACATGTAGATTAAAATTTAAAGGTCTCTGGATAATTCTGAATGATTAACTTTTCTCTGTGAAATAAGTTCACATCCTTGACATCCATACTACAACGCACAACATGTATTTACGAATGTTGTATACAAAAATGGGTTTGGGAATGAATTAATGATTTTTTGGGATATTTCAAAATAGTTTTAGGGATACAGGTTATTTTTAGGGATACGGGTTATTTGTAAAAAAAAATTGGGATATTAGGGGTAAACATTATAGGGATATGGGATATTGGGACAAAAACTTAATGGGATATGGGATATTGATACCCCCCCTAAACAAGCCTCCATTATGAGTATAAAATGTAGGTTTTATAAGGCCCACATTTGGCACCTTATTCTAGCTAAAATTTCAAATAGATACTTAATGGCCTATTAATATATCAGACAATTAAATCTAAGGTAGTAAGGCCTTTGAATATACAACTGTCTGATAATATAACATCTATTAAGATGAAAAGTGTTCATATAACCTAGCCATAATTTGCAATACAGCACCGACTCCCTTTATGTATTATTATTGTTCTCATTTCTGTCATGTCTCACAAATTTCTCACAACTGCAGACCTTCAAGATGACAATCATGGTTTTTATCAATTCCTTTTTATAAGTTTTCTTTTTATTATGCCCTAGCAATGCTTGCTTTATAGAATGACCTCTTGTTCAGATTTTTTCTGTTTTGCTTGTTTCAATGCCATTTAAAGAATTCTGCTGGTATTAATAAATGGTATAGTTTCTTTGTACATGTACCAGCCTATCATTTTTTGTCTGGGGACATTCCCTCTATAATTCAGAAAAAAAAACACTTGGAAAGGATCAAGGCTTGTATCAGACATTTACTTAATACTGTGGACTCATTATTATTCATTGCATACTTCTTTTCATGGATTTCATGGGTACAGGTGAACTGCGAAATTTAAAAGTGTTCAACGAATTACAAATTTTTTATAAGGTTATATGCAGACTTTGGCAAAACTACAAAATCAATTATCCACAAAAAAGCAAGTTTTCCTCAATCCACGAAAATTGGTATTCACTAAAATAAATGAATCCACAGTAACTCTGCTGTTAGAAAAATAGAAAAATGTTCCCTAGATTCATCTGTTTACTTGCAACAATTAGAGCCTCCAAAATGTTTGGATATAAATCATAAGGTCAGGTCAATCAAATAAAACTCCTGATTTTTAACACTGAAGTTCTCATTTAAAAACTACATGTACCACCAAACATTTTTTTTAAATTTTTATAAAGTGCTCATTTTAAAACTTATGTAAGTACCACCAAACAAGGCTGCATGCAATCCAAATATTGTGTGATTACCATACCTGCAATATGACTGTTTGTATATCTTATACTGCACTGTTGGTCTCTTTCCAACTGTTAGTAGAAATGTATTGTAATTTGAAGCTGGATTCAGGCCTCTAAAAGAGTCTATAAACTGTTGTTTTTCATCCTACAACATCATGACATTCATTCTATTGTTTTAAAAATATGAATTAGTTTAAACATATTTTATTTGCTCAAAGCAAAAAGGATCAGATACAAGTACAACATACTTATAAAGTCTTCTCCACAATACAATATATATAACAATACAAATTGAATGTGAGCATGCATTATATAATGTATACAACATAAATATTTCTATGCTATACTGAAATAAAATGCTCCGCAGGGCGCAGCTTGATACGACCGCAGAGGTCGAACCCTGAACAGTTGGGGCAAGTATGGACACAACATTCAAGCTTGATACAGCTCTGAATTTGGATTGTGATTAAATATTTGACACAGCATAGGTTACTGACACAGAATGAATGTGGTCTAAGAACTTAAATTTTTTTATTAAATTGGACATTCACCTATTATGGTCCAATATCCAAAATCTAAATACATGGTTAGATTCAACATATCAAAGAACCCCAAGAATCCAATTTTTGATGAAATCAAACAAAGTTTAATTTAGGACCCTTTTGACCTCAATGTGGACAAAGTTGATAACGGGGCCCAAAAATCAAAAATCTAAATACATGGTTAGATTCAGCATATCAAAGAACCCATATATTCAATTTTTGTTGAAATCAAACAAAGTTTAATTTTGGACCCCGATTTGGACCAACTTGAAAACTGAGCCCATAATCAAAAATCTAAATACATGTTTAGATTCAGCATATCAAAGAACCCTAAGAATTCAATTTTTGTTAAAATCAAACTAAGTTTAATTTTGAACCCTTTGGACCTTAATGTAGACCAATTTGAAAACGGAACCAAAAATTAAGAATCTAACTACACGGTTAGATTCGGCATATCAAAGAACCCCAAGAATTCAATTTTTGATGAAATCAAACAAAGTTTAATTTAGGACCCTTTTGACCTCAATGTGGACAAAGTTGATAACGGGGCCCAAAAATCAAAAATCTAAATACATGGTTAGATTCAGCATATCAAAGAACCCCATATATTCAATTTTTGTTGAATCAAACAAAGTTTAATTTTGGACCCCGATTTGGACCAACTTGAAAACTGGGCCCATAATCAAAAATCTAAATACATGTTTAGATTCAGCATATCAAAGAACCCTAAGAATTCAATTTTTGTTAAAATCAAACTAAGTTTAATTTTGAACCCTTTGGACCTTAATGTAGACCAATTTGAAAACGGAACCAAAAATTAAGAATCTAAATACACGGTTAGATTCGGCATATCAAAGAACACCAATAATTCAATTTTTGATGAAATCAAACAAAGTTTAATTTTGGACCCTTTGGACCTCAATGTGGACCAATTTAAAATCGGGGCCCAAAATCCAAAAACTTAATACACGGTTAGATTCAGCATATTAAAGAACCCCAAGAATTCAAGAATAAAACCCCATTGAAATTGGTCAAGAAATAAGCAATTAATACTGTGCAATTGAATATTTCTTGCTATTGCGCAATACTGTACAATTGACAATATCTTGCTATTGCGCAATATTGTGCTATTGGATATTTCTTGCTATTGCGCAATACTGTGCAATTGAAGATTTCTTACTATTGCGCAATACTGTGCAATGAAAGATTTCTTGCTATTGTGCAATACTGTAATTGAAAATTTCTTGCTATTGCACAATACTTATTATATAATAATTTACACATCCTGTTTGGTGTGTATCTCCTACCATATCATTATTATTTGCTTTTAAATATAAATCAGAAATAACCAACTTAAAATGGAAAATTTTAAAAGAAAAAAAAAGGAAAAAAAGAAAAAAAAAGGAAAAAAAAAAAATCCCCCCCCAAATTTTTTGAAACCCCTTATGATTCATCACCCCCAAACTCAATCCCAGCCTTCCCTTTGTGGTATGGTACCTTGCAGTACAATTTCAGAGAGATCCATACACTTGAACACAAGTGATTGTCCTGAAACTAGAAAAATGCTTGTTTTTTCCCCCTTTTTGGCCCCTTATTCCTAAAATTTTGAGGGAATTACCCCCAAAATCATTCCCAGCCTTCCCTTTGTGGTATGGTACCTTGCAGTACAATTTCAGAGAGATCCATACACTTGAACACAAGTAATTGTCTGGAAACTATAAAAATGCTATTTTTGGCCCCTTTTTGGTCCCTTATTCCTTAATGTTTTGGGCAATTACCCCCAAACTCAATTCCAGCTTTCCCTTTGTGATATGGAACCTTGTAGTTCAATTTCAGAAAGATCCATACACTTACACACAAGTTATTATCATGAAACTAGAAAAATGCTTGTTTTTTGCCCCTTTTTTGGCCCCTAATTCCTAAAATTTTGAGGCAATTACCCCCAAAACCAATCCCAGCATTTCCTTTGTGATATGGAACCTTGTGGTACAATGTCAGAGAGATCCATACACTAACACACAAGTTATGTCTGGAAGTTACAAAAATGCTTATTTTTGGCCCCTTTTTGGCCCCTAATTCCTTAACTGTTGGTACCATAACCCCCAAAATCAATCCCAACCTTCCTTTTGTGGTATTGAACCTTATGGTAAAATTATACGGAGATCCATTCACTTAAACTAAAGTTAGAGTGCGAAAACCAATGTGTCTTCGGACGACGCCGGACGACGCCAGACGACGACGACGACGCCAACGTCATACCAATATACGACCAAAAAAATTTTAATTTTTGCGGTCGTATAAAAAGGAGAGAGGACGAAGAAGGAACGACAGAGGTTAGGATAATGATGATGATGTGTGTTTTACCTATGTTGATATTATACTGCGAGGAATTGTTTTGATCTCTTTATAAAACTGAATACTTGTTTAACAATTTGCACATTTTGGAAAGTTTCTTTTCCAAAAACCAATAATTTTAAGTCCAAATCACAGCCTCTGAGAAGCAAGCTGAGACTATTAAATATGAATTTTTAATTGCCTTCAATATGCAAGTGATACATATTTTTTTCATAGTTATCAAATATTGATAGTTGTTAACTTCTATGTCATCTGGTCTCTGGCAAGAGTTGTCTCATTGGCAATAATACCACATCTTCTTATTTTTATATTGTACTGTGTATCTTAAACCTCCTCTCTTTCCCTTTCTGTGTGATCTGTAAAATGTGAGAATACATATAATATTAATAATAAATTGCTTGACAAGGGCATTGATAGATCTAAGGAATGTTCATATCACTGTACTATGTATGTGGCTTGTAATAAATTGATTGGGGTTTAACGCCACTTTCAGAACTATTGTGCCATTTCGTGGTGATCAGTTTTTATCTGTTGAGGAAGCCGGAGTACCCCGAGAGAACCATAACCTTCTGCAGGAAAACTGATGATCCTAGTGTATAGTATCTTAATTTCAAACATTTACTAAATCAGACTGTAGGTAATCTCCCCTGAATTGTTTAACAATCTCTAACTTGATATGACACCATTCATGGTATGGTGGCCTCTTGTTCTTGATTGGTTACTTTGTGTTGCTAGGTGGTTGATTGGATGATGTTTATCCCAAGAAAACTCTTTATTCATACAGTAAATTCAGTGTTCTCCCCAGGGCCTTTTAGCATCATGGTAATGTGATGGTATATTTCTTTAATGTGATGCTATCTAAATTGGTTTTCTTACAGATTGTGTTATGGATGTGATGCTATAATTTTTAAAAACAAGATGGTATTTCAAATTTCCCTGTTTACCAGGATGCTATATGAAATATCTGGGGGGAACACTGTAAAATGTAAATGTTCTTTTTAAATAGAATATTATTTTTACATATATAAGGATGTATAATATACAGACAAGGTGAATGCAATATAGCCCCAACTCATTGGGGGTATAAAAGGTGAATGCAATATAAACTCCACTAGCTCATTGAACAATGTTGAATGTGGATACAATATTAACTTTGAAACTAAAATGACAAAAAAAATATTGTGTATTTAGTTACAACAGGACAATTGGTTCAAAGCAGAATAATTTTTACATAGTTTATAACAGACACATATCCATTACAGAAGATGTATACAATTTAATGAGAGCTCATAAGGGCAATCAGATCGATGGGTCACTCATCCGTTGATTGTTAATAACCCTCATAACTGACCATCATAATTATTTTTTCCAGTAAAATCAGTCAGTCGGCATTTCAATTTCAATATTTCTCAAAACGACCACAATTTGCAATTTGTTTATCATAGTTTATTCATTTCAACAAAATTGTTTTCCCCCGGACAGTTCGCATTTGAATTTCAATATTTCTCAAACGATCACAATTTGCAGTTCGTTCGTCGTAGTTTCGTCATATGAACGTATTTTCGTCATATTTGATGTAACTTTTCATCAAAAACTTTCGACCATGTCGATGAAAAAGATAGAACTTTATTCAAAACGTTTGGAAATATTTTCACGAGTCAAACAGGTGCTTTCTTTACTTTGTACTGCGCATGCGTGAAAGTATTCATATAAATTCATAGACACTTAAACGTAAAATACGAAATCATTTAGTATCAAATTAAATGAGAGAGAATTTATATTATAAATACCTGAAGAAGATTTGAAAGCTCCCCATAGGTGAAAGCTTCTTGTCCATGCTTTGTCAATAGAAGTATTCCACTAACCACTTTGTGTTGCAGTAAGTGTTCTGTCAATGTAGAATTGTATTTTAAAAAATAAATTCAGGTAATCAGAAAAAAAGATGTAATCTCTTATCTTAAAATATGTACAATGTATAGGATCAGACTTTTTGCTAAAAGGCAGCAAGTGTCATCAATCAGTTGTCTAAATTAGTTATATCCTGTATGAATACCATCATTTTACAGTTTAACAATATATTAGGTTAAAATATTTGGCAAAAGTAACCTATTTACATTTACAAAAAAAATTAACAATACCACATGGCACAAGGCAATAAAAAAACAGGTAAATTTCTTCAAAATGATAAAAGAAGAATGTATCTGAGGATACAAATGCCTCTGCTCAAGCTTTTACAGTTTTCGAAGATAAAAAGGGGCATAACTCTAGAAGGGTAAATGACTGGCTGCCCAAATTTGAACTCGATCTGTCTTTGTGTTTAGGTTCTTAGCATTGTGTATGAGTTTATAAAATTTGGATGAGAAAAACTTAAGTTAGAGTGCAGAAAAGAAAATGGGATGTATAAACAATTTTTTTTCACTCGCATGCATAACATGTATTACTAATAAAACTGGAGGTGACAATTGCAAGTAATAGCTAATATATAATGTGTGGATTAGCTTAGCTTGTTAAAACCAAGGTGCAAAAATTTGGTACAGTACTAGTCTGTTAGTAACTTGTCATGATAAAACTATATACCAATTATCAAATCAATATCTTCAAGCATGATGAAAAAAAGTGCAGAAAACTGATTATTTGAGTGAATTTTCTAAGTCCAACGACCATAACTCTGCACAAAATCATCAGACTGGAACAAAATTCGAACTTGATCTGTAACTTGTCATGTTAAAACAATGTACCAATTGATAAATCAATATCTCCAAGAATGACGAAAAAAGTGCGGAAAACTGAATATTTGAGTGAATTTTCCAAGTCCAAGGACCATAACTCTGCACAAAATTATCAGACCTGAACAAAATTTGAACTTGATCTGTAAAAAACAATAAAACAATATACCAAATATCAAATCAATATCTTCAAGCATGAAGAAAAAAAGTGTGGAAAACTGATTTGCCAGACTGACAGAAGGACAGACAGACAGACAGACAGACAGACAGACAGACAGACAGACAGACAGACAGACAGACAGACAGACAGACAGACGGAGTGCAAACCTAAAGTCCCCTTCGACTTCGTCGGTAGGGGACTAAAAATTAAGGGCAATCACTCCTATAAAGAGTGACAGTCTACTAACTATATCAGCAAAATTTAATTGTTAGTAGATCTTGACTTGCTGCTCATTTTTGTGATTTAAAGTGTATATATATCTATTATAATTCTAATCATATAAGGCAAAACACCAACATCATACCAATATACAACTGCAAAAATTTTTAGCCATGGCAGCCATGTTGGTTGGCAGGTGGGGTCATTGGACACATTTTTTAAGGTAGATACCCTAGTATTGATTTTGGCCAAGTTTGGTTTAACTTGGCCCAGTAGTTTCAGAGGAGAAGATTTTTGTAAAAGATTACAAAAATTTATGAAAAATTGTGAAAAATTGACTTTAAAGGGCAATTACTCCTTAAGGGGTCAATTGACAATTTTGGTCATGTTGACTTATTTGTAGATCTTACTTTGTTGAACATTTTTGCTGTTTACAGTTTATATCTAGTATCTATAATAATATTTAAGATAATACCAAAAACTGCAAAATTTTCTTAAAATTACCAATTCAGGGGCAGCAACCCAACAATGGGTCGTGTGATTTGTCTGAAAATTGCAGGGCAGATAGATCTTGACCTGATGAACAATTTTACCTCATGTCAGATTTGCACTAAATGCTTTGGTTTCAGAGATATAAGCCAAAATCTACATTTTACCCCTATGTTCTATTTTTAGCCATGGCGGCCATCTTGGTTGGCGGGCAGAATAATTGGACACATTTTTAAAACTAGATACCTTAATGACGATTGTGGCCAAGTTTGGTTTAATTTGGCCCAATTTCAGAGGAGAAGATTTTTGTAAAAGTTTACAGACAACAACGAACAACGGACGACAAGTTAAGATGAGAAAAGCTCACTTGGCCCTTTGGGCCAGGTGAGCTAAAAATGAACCTGTTAACATGGCAAATAAAACTTCAATTATATGTAAGAAAAAAAATTTCAAAACCTAAATTAATTCATCATTAAAACGTTTCTAGGAGATATTTTTATAAATTTGAAAATAAGATATGGCATAATATTTGGTTTCATGTCGATCCGGCCCCACGTCGATCCGGCCCAAGTCGATCCGTCCCACGTCGATCCGGCCCAACGTCGAATCGGCCCATATTTAAAGTCGATCCGGCCCCAATAAAAAAATATACTTATAAGGAATAAAAATAAAGATATATATTAATTGTAATTCATAAATGTTTATGAATTTTATTATAATGTAAAAGGTGTACGGTAAAAAAAATGGCCTTTGACAAATATTTTCTTTAGATGAGTATAAAACAAGTAGGTTGATTATGTTTTCATTACAAGTTTTCAAGATTATTGGGTATAATTATATTAAAAACGTATATAACAGAATTTAGTACAATCAACAGACATCAACATTAATCAGCAGTAATTAGCATTTTCTTTCAATTGACTGTGATCTTAACAAGTCTTTCATCCTGTGTAATAACAAATAGTTACATACACAACGGTACAAGCCGATCCCCAAGCTGATACATACCAACTTTGTTTTTGTTTTATGTTCTTAAAACTTCTCAAATCGAGAAATGTTGTTTGATTTGCCGAATCCTTTCTATAAAAGAGGAGACAGAATGCGTTTGCAAACAATGTCTACTATACATCCCTAAGCATTTGAAGAAAAGAAATAAAGAAATAGAATTTACAAATATTTGGACAAAAGTAGCTGACATTAAAAATGATATTCACAGAGAATTTCTTTAAAAAATAATACACAGAGCTGTATTAACGGGAGAAAAACAAATAGAGGAATAAGAGGCATAGATCCACAATGCAAATACTGTAATAGACAGCTTGAAACGTTTGAACATCTATTTATAGATTGTAAAGAATTAAAAATGTTTAGAACTTATGTGATACAAAATGCTCAGAGAGTGAAAATGTGCATTCAGTGTAATTATTTTGTTATTATCTTGCAATAAAGAATAATGGATACTCATATAACTTGTTTTTTTTATCTACACAGAACTATTCAAAATATTGTCAACTTTAAAAATATATATTAACTATATTCGATATTACAAAAAAACAACATGTGTTATAGAAGCCTCTGATGTTACCTGAAAAAAAAATACAATTAATTATTATAACACATAACACAAAAAAAACAAGATCAAACTATAAAGACCTTGCTGATTACGTAACTTTAATCAACCAGGATTTGATTGAATTAAGTGATTACGAGTGGCATTACCTCAGTTCACAATCATCAGACAATTGTTGAATAAACAAACCAATTATAGATTAATGATTTGATAAAACAAGTCATTATATGATGAGTTAAATTTTATAGGTTCCATTAGACTGTAAATATTTATTTAGCTATTCTGTGTGTGAATTAAATAAAATAAAAATCGCCATGACATTCAAAGTTATCATGGAAAATAACTTCATATTAATATGTTGAAGCTGCTCTACAAACAGACACAATCACACTCAGTTTCGCATCGATTTAAAATAATTCTTTGACTGGTACACCAATACTTCACTTACCTGTTGTCATCCATCATCGATACTTTTTGCAAAATCAATTTATACTGTTAAAAATCCTCCAAAGTCAATATAGTTTATTCATATTTTATTATGGGGCCGGATCGACTTTGGGCCGGATCAACGTGGGCCGGATCGACTTGGGACGGATCGACTTTGGGCCGGATCGACTTGGGGCCGGATCGGTTTGGGGACGGAACGACCGGATACCTAATATTCTTTTATCATCATAGTGGACCATTGCAGTGTCAAATTTCAATATAGTTTGATTAAAAATGCTATAATCTGCATCTTTCAATTTCGGGATTGTACCTCCCACTGTGCTTTCAGTCACTTTTTTTAATTGTCTGATATCTTCCTGGTGTGACAAGACTGGCAAGGGTGGCTTATGCCTATATGCGCTGGCGGCTGATTTCTTGGCAAATGAAGCAACTATGCCTATATGCCATGAATGCGCTGGCGGCTGATTACTTAGCAACTGTGCCTATACGACGAAAAAGCGTGTAATGGCGTGTAAAGTGATGAAAAACGTGTACACGCCATGTGACAAAATTCTCGTGTATAAAACGTCCAAAAAGCGTGTATTACACGCGAATATCATGTGAGTTGGCAACTATGCCTATACATGAAGTACCAACTGGGCTAACCTGGGTTTAGCCACCTTGGTAAATGAAGAACTACTGTGTTGTAAAAGAGAAGAGAAAGATACCAAAGGGATAGTCAAACTCATAACCTGTGATCCTCTTTAAAGGAAGTCAAGATAGGAAAAGCCAACTCTGACCTTTCATATCATCTTGATATACTCCATATGCAGACAATGCTTAAATTTAGCTACAAAAAAAATGGAAAGTTCACAATGGGAAAATTGAAATCATATTTCTGGGTGGATTGTGGACATTTTCTTTTATCTACTTTGCGTTCTTCGGACCAACCGAACGAAAAAACCGCGACATACAGATTCTTTTAAAAAATCTTCCTACAGCTTCTGTATGTGAAAATGTTAAAAAGTTCTCAACAAATATTCATTTAACTGTCTTAACCTTTAACTAAAGTTTCCCAAGACATAATAGTTGATAGAACGTTTCTATACCGTCGTCTCTGATATTTTCATCTGCATCATTTTGACGTTTGGGTTGATAAGTAATTTCCTGTTCTTCAAAGAGTTTATTTGAGACAGACTGATTCTGTGAATGCCGCAAGAATCGGCATTGAAAACCAACCTTTTGGAGTTTATAGCAAAGTGATATGGTGTTGTCATGGACTCTGCAAAAGATATCAGCAAAAAGATACGCGTATGTAACTTGCAATTGTTTTATACACATTGTTAATCAAAAGCTACCATTTGTTAGTGGATTTTCTTTATTTTTCCATTCAGTTGATGTCGTCTATCCCAATAAAACTTATTTAGTCTTAAATCTTCATTATATTATCTACACATTGGTGTATAGAATGCATATGTTTGTGTTTGAAACAATTTGTGGCATATCTTCTTATAAGGAAAAGTTCAGAGGGTTTGAGATAAGTAAATGAGAGGTGAAAGATACCAAAGTTGGCAAAGAGACTTTCAAACGAGTTCATAACATGCATAAGATGAAAATAAACTGACAAGGCCATGGCATCAATAGAAAAAGGAAAACAACAGTATACAAAACACAACACAGAAAACTAAAGGCTGAGCAACATGAACCCCTGATCTCAGGTGCTCCCGAAGGGTAAGCACTAAAGCAGATCCTGCTCCACATGTGGCACCCGTCATATTGCTAATGTATGTAGAAACCCGGTTATAAGTCTAATTGAGTAGGTCACATTTAGGGAAAAGGAGGTCAGGATTGTGATTACAAGGATTGGAACATATATGTTGTCATCTGTGAAACAGATACATGTATTCAGTAACAGTCAGCAGGGTCAACTAACTCTTGATGGTGTCTGTAAAATTCTCAAAAAGATAATTTCAACTTCATTGGAACACTTGGTTTAATAATTTCCTTGTGCTCGCAAAAAAAACCCTCTATTAAGGAAATCATGATTGGAAACACATGCCCTGGAATATTGTACGTATCAACTGGGGCTGCTGGAATGTTGCTACATGTACATAGAAACTGAAAGTTCATAATTGGGAAACTGAAATCATCTCTTTTGTCATAAGGTTTTGTTCTCAACCAACCCTCATTTTCAATTTTGAGATGTAAGTCAAGATACGAGGCAGACTAATCTGGTGTATCCTTTATTTCAAGTTCGATTGGATAGATGCATTCACGTAGTCACCAAACTTTTAATTATTTAGTCAGAAGACATCACCTATATACTATAGCGGAAAGTGAAGTTAAAGGATAGTACTTTCATTCTATCTAAGAAGATCTTGTATGAAGTCGGCCTCATATGAATAAAGTTTGCAAGAGGAGGAGCACAGTTGGTTCCATGGGAATGCCGATTATTTTTTTAAAGACATGTCTTCCAAACATAACAAATATGTTGTCAATCAAGAAATCAAGCATCTTGATAATGTCAGTTTCAGAGAATTTTTTGTTTGAATCAGTGTTTTTTTACAAAGTACAATTTATCCCTCACTAAGAAAAGATACTTATAATGACATTGGCCATTCTTTTTTATGAAACAAAGCAGGACCAACAGAGGCAACTCTTTCAACTTGTCTTTTAGTTTGGAAGGGGAAATACTTGTGTAAATTGTAGAAAAGTCAAATGTTTTAATACTATTGCAAGACGAAAGAGTCTTAGATTGTACAAAATGTATATACTCTAACAGATCTTTGGAATTTTAAGTATCCATATGAGACTCATGCCACCTCTAGAATAGGTAGTTGCACATGTACAAGAGCTGTCAATCCTGGCTTTCATTGCTGATGAAATTGATGTTAATAATTTAGAAAGAGGTTTTCATGGAGCACTTGGAAGACCCAGCAATATAAGGTTGTTTGTAAGGACACTTATGTAATTTAAGTATCCAATACAGTGAAAGAATATCTAAAAATAAGAAGATGTGGTATGATTGCCAATGAGACAACTCTCCACAAGAGACCAAATGACACAGAAATTAACAACTAAAGGTCACCATACGGCCTTCAACAATGAGCAAAACTCATACCGCATAGTCAGCTATAAATAGCCCTGATATGACAAATGTAAAACAATTTAAACGAGAAAACTAACGGTCTTATTTAATTTATGTACAAAATAATGAACGAAAAACAAATATGATACACAGAAACAAATGACAACCACTGAATTACAGGCTCCTGACTTGCAATTGGGACAGGCACAGTTGTTTCTCAGCCAAATTAGACAAGGGGACTAGAGTTCATGTTCTTGTCCTGACAGGCAGGTAACATTTGCCAATGATTGGGCCATTCAAAAAAGATTGTTAGTTTCCCCTAACCCTGCCTGGTTTGTTTTTACCCTCCTGGTCCCTCCTGGTCAATTCTTTTTTTAACCGATGAAAAAAAAGTCTGATAGTTTCTTAAAAATGTTTCATATATCATTCTTAAAGTTTAAAATAGCTATATCATGTATATCACAAAATGTAGTAAAAGATACATGTATAATGTCAAAGTTTTTTTTTTCTTTAGAATTTCCTGGCAATGGTTTAAGAAAAAAACTTCTGTAAAGTGAAACTGCTTGTGCCTTGTTTGATTTTTCATAAAAAAATACTATGTTTTCCCTGACTGCCGACCCTTTTAAATTTTCTTGTGCTAAGGGAACCAACACGCAATTTTCAATGGCCTTACCCATCCTGTTATAGCAAGAGTTGGTTTATTTTACAATTTCTACAGGAATGGAAAAATGTAAATCTAATCTGCTCATGTTGTAAAAAAAGTATTAAGTTTCTGGATTGATGAGTAAATTACTTCTTTGATCCAGCCATGCTGAATTTATGCAATCACGCATAATTCCGAATTGAAGATACATCATGAAACTGATGATTTGTTTTATATAATTAAGTCATGATGTACTTATGACCCTCAAAAAGGCTTTTTAATTTGTTACAGTATGAAAGAAGAAAAAACTGGACCACTAGAGACAATATTTGATTCTGATTGACCAATTTTAAAATAAAACTTTCCTCTGAAAGTACAATGTGAAATGTTTTGTAAACTTTAGGGGATTGATGATAGATTAGAAACAGCTCTAAATTCTTTATTATTTTGCAGAGTGCCATAAAAGCCAAGTTGGTAGAACTGGGAGCTTATGTTGGTAAGTAAACTACATCATATTTACATGTTTAATGTACGTGATGTATATTTAAAAAGTGGCTAATCATTAGATGTGTTTATTTGTAAAATTTACTGAAATTGTCAGCAATATCAAATTTGTATCATATCTGCTGTATCATAAGGCTTGAAAACTGATTGAATTTGATATTTAAATACCTAATAAATAAAAGTATATGTACTTGATGTCATGGATGTCATGGATGTATAAAATGAAAATGGATTGTTTTAATCTTCATATTGAACATGTTGAATGAAATTTTTTAGACTTATATTGATATGAATAAATAAGACATCTCAATATATCAAGCTCTGAATTGCCCTGAATCTAAAAAAACTTAAAGAATAAAATAGAAAAAAAACAACGATCTGTCATCAAACAAAAAAACTCTTAACCAAATTCATTAAGATATGACTTAAACAACTAGCAATGAGGTTCTTGACTTGGTTTAGTAACACCTGTGGGTTATACATGTAAATTATATAACGATGAAGGTTCTTTAAAAAAACTTGCCACAGAAGACTACATTTTTGGCTGTGCCAAGTCCAGTGTTCTGCAGAAGATGTTTTGCCATGAATGAATGAAGATGACTCAGCAGATACAATCTAGATGCATCTTGGGAATCACTGGTGTAAAAAAAAAATGAGTTTGGTCTATTTTTCATTAGTACAACACACAGTATAGCAAGAACCTTATCATGCTTATGTATTATCAATGGATAGGACTCATGTGAAATGCCATTTTTACACAACCTGGTTATATAATGCTTCAACAGTAACTGAGTGTTTCAACTCGCTTGTGAACACTTGGTAAGTGTGAGTTAAAACATGCAATGTTGGATATAGAGGTTATCGGTCATGTTTTTAATATATACAATGTACACTCATAACATTTGAAGGTAAGTAACAGAGCTAAATATTTTTTGTAAGTGAATAGTAATTATTATATTGTGTTTTTTTATTGTTGGTCATGAATATCATTTGGAATCTGTTTGATATTTTTTTAACTTGCATGTTTCATGCTTATTTCTCTGTGCTTATTTCTCTGTAAATATGAAATATTATGACTTATAATATTTGTTCTGTCAGAAATTTGAAATGATATTTAGAATTAAATGATGAGTTATTTAAGTATATGATCTGGATTGTTATATTGCTTTACATAGATGATGAGTTGCCAGACTATATTATGGTTATGGTGGCCAATAAAAAGACCCAAAATCAGATGACAGAAGATTTGAGCCTGTTTCTAGGACTGAATACAGAAAAATTTACATCCTGGTATGACCTAATGCTACATACATGATAATTTTCATTATCAGCTGAATTTGCATTGAAATGGAATTTGATTTGTATAATATTAGAATATGAAGATGTGGTATGATTGCCAATGAGACAACTACGGTATCTACATTGTAAGAAAGACCAAATGACATTAATCAACAAGGAGCAAAACCCATTATAATAGTAACCTATTAACGCCCCCAAAATGACAAAATGTAATACCATTGAAACGAAAAAAAACAACAGCCTGTTTATGTACAAAACAATAAATGATAAAAAAAAACAAATGTGATAGACAGTGACCAATGAAAACCACTGAATTAATGATATGGCTCTTTCGGGTTATCTACACTCTTAAAACATACACATTGAAATGAACTGACTTCAAAGTATATTTAACATCCATCTTGGATTATTTAAGAATTTTCAGTCACCTGTAATTATAACCAAAGTGGCATTAAATCAAATGTATTTGAGAGCTTTCAAAATTTCCTCAATTAAATGCTGAATTTGTGTAGTGTACCAAATACTGCAGTTTTATTTTTGAATATTTTTCATGTTTTATACAGTCATGAAATGACAGTAAATTTCTTAAATAGCAATATTACACAAAATGTTTACTTTTTGACTTGCACATATGCTTAATTGCATATTTTGGTATTAATATTGATTCACTTATAGGGTCTTTGCATCGGAAATAAACACATTTATTCTAAAACCAGTTGTTGGCATGATACGGGTTATGTTCTTCTCATATATTTTATGATGGTATGATACTAAACCCCTAACGGGAGGGATTGTACTTGATTTTCATATGATGAAGACATAATCTTTCAATCAGTTTAATTGAGGTCTGGAGCTGGCATGTTAGTAACTGCTAGTAGTCCTTTTTTCATTTATGTATCATTGTCATTTTGCTTAGTTTCTTTTGTTACCTATTCTGACATCGGACTCGGACTTCTTTTAAACTGAGTTTTACTGTGCGTATTGCTATGTGTTTCTTTATTCTACATTGGCTAGAGGTATAGGGGGAGGGTTGAGATTTCACAAAACATGTTTAACCCCGCCGCATTTTTGCGCCTGTCCCAAGTCAGGAGCCTCTGGCCTTTGTTAGTCTTGTATGTTTTTTAATTTTAGTTCATTTATATGTTTTGGAGTTTAGTGTGACGTCCATTTTCACTGAACTAGTACACAATTTTATTTAGGGGCCAGCTGAGGACCACCTCTGGGTGCAGGATTTTCTCGCTGCGTTGAAGACCTATTGGTGGCCTTCAGCTCTTGTCTGCTCTTTGGTCGGGTTGTTGTCTCTCTGACATATTCCCCATTTCCATTCTCAATTTTATTAAAAATGTTATAAATAATACATAACTTTTGAATGAATTAGATGTTCAAACTTTATGTGTGTTTTGTGCCCTCATTTCATGGACAAAATATTTTATTTGTTGAGATGTGTGCTCTATGTTATTTAACCATATTGACTAGGATATGTCACAAGTAAGATTGAATGACAGTCTGCAAGTTTGAGGTCATAAACAATCCAAATCATACACCTCTTATACCCAAATATGCAAACTAATGTTGACCTCATAATGCTTTTACTTAAATGTACTGAATCTAAGTGGGTTGAACAGATATGATGGAGTCTGTGTTAAGAGACAAAGATTGAATTCACAAAGGCAAATACTTAATAGCAAAAAAAGTATTAGTCTAACCATAACGTTCATGAACAAGATGTATAAGATGACAGTAGAGGTGTTTTTTTTTTAATCTTATACCTATTTTACAGGCTTCATGGATTGTTGGTAAAACTACAGACTTTAAGTTCAGGTATATATTATATCTCACTCTAGGAGTGGGGGTTATATTGCATTCACTTTGTCCTTTCTCTCTGTTGTCCAACAAATATTTCTGTCACCATTAAATTCAAGTACTACTAAACAGAATGACTTAATATTTGGTCAGCAGCTTGACAGTGATAAGTTGTAATGTGTGAGCATGTTATTGATCTGTCAGAAACCTACTTCCTGTTTGCCCATACTTTGAATTTTAAATATGTTGAATGAGCTTAATATTTTTGGTCACACTTTTTACAAGTACTACCGAACAGAATGACGTCATTATACCCATGGAACATAGTTCCGTAGGGTATAAAGTTTTTGACCTGTCAGTTCATCAGTCAGTCTGTCCGTCCGTTAGTCCTGTTTATGTCATTGCAACTCCTCTGAAACCACACAAGAGAATTTCATGAAACTTTGTAGATAATAAGGACATACTATTTAGATATGCATATCGACAGGATATTATGATTCAATTTTTTTCTAGGAGTAAAGCCACTTTAAACTTAAAATTTTTGCCTAAATATACTACTGCAACAGTTTGTCATCGCAACTCCTCTGAAACCACTCCAAAAAATTTCATGAAACTTTGTATATAATAAGGACTTAATATGTAGATGTGCAGATCCATTAGAAATTTTTATAAGTTGACATTTGTAGGAGTTATGAGTCTTTGAACTTAGGATTTTGTTTACCAAGTGACAATTTGGGGGCATGGGGTATGTAAGCGGCTCACAAAGGTTTTTCAATATTTAGTCAGCAGGTTGGCAGTGATGAGTTTTGATGTTCAAGCACTATTTGAAATAGTCGGACACAGCACCTTCTGTTTAAAATACTTTGGGTATTATGAGTGAGTATGCTTAGCACTCATGCAATCTTGTTTCATTTGTTTATCCACCAATTAGTAATGTGTTGAAGAAGTTAGTCTTGCCTCTACCCTAGAGTTCCTGTCTCTTGAAATGGGTAGGTGCAATGTTTACTGTTTTGGCCTCCCATGGTGTTCCATATATAGCTACAAGGGGGATAATCTATTATCAATACATAGAATATACTTCTGCAACTAGTACAAGCTGTTTTGTATGGCATTCTGGAAATTAAGTGACTGAAAGAATGAAAATTCAGTTTTGGAAATATGACTCTGACCTTATAAAACATCTTTTGAAAAGTATGAAATGTGATCATGCAAATAAAACTTGAAATATATATCTTTTCATTTGAGCATAAGTCACATTTGGCTTTTTCGATTTTAGAACAACAAAAAGGTAAAGAAAAACATGCTGAAGAAAGCAGAGACGAGGAAGAGTCAGAAACAACAGAGAAAAAATCATCTCCTGATAAACCAGAAAAACTTATGAAACCTCCATCAGAAAAAAATGTTGGGAAAAAGACAACTGTTAAAAGAAAAAGTTCTGAGGGCAAACCTAAAATCGGCATAAAGGAATCAGGAAGTAAAACAGTAGATTCTAAACTTTTAGAAAATGAATGTACCAGTAAACCTGTTCCCACTTCTAAACTTAAAGATGAAGAATATGTATCAGAACTCCTTGAATCAGTAGAAACTGGTAGGTAGCATTTATGGATGATCAGGGATTTTTTTTATATATTATCAAATGAAAACATGGCTATATTTACATACATGTACATACTATTGTGAATAGCTGCAAGGTACATATTTGAAACATTATTGAGTAATTTGTATAAACCATATTGTAAAGAGAAATAATCCTTTATTTTTATAATTTTTTTTAGACTGACAGCTAAACTACTCTTATTTGATACCAATATGTAATTTTTATACGACCGCAAAAAAATTTTTGTGGTCGTATATTGGTATGACGTTGGCGTCGTCGTCGTCCGGCGTCGTCTGAAGACACATTGGTTTTCGCACTCTAACTTTAGTTTAAGTGAATGGATCTCTATGAAATTTTACCACAAGGTTCAATACCACAAAAGGAAGGTTGGGATTGATTTTGGGGGTTATGGTACCAACAGTAAAGGAATTAGGGGCCAAAAATAAGCATTTTTGTAACTTCCAGACATAACTTGTGTGTTAGTGTATGGATCTCTCTGACATTGTACCACAAGGTTCCATATCACAAAAGGAATGCTGGGATTGATTTTGGGGGTAATTGCCTCAAAATTTTAGGTATTAGGGGCCAAAAAATGGGCAAAAAACAAGCATTTTTCTAGTTTCAGGACCATAACTTGTGTGTAAGTGTATGGATCTTTCTGAAATTGTACTACAAGGTTCCATATCACAAATGGAAAGCTGGGTTTGAGTTTGGGGGTAATTGCCTTAAACGTTTAGGAATTTGGGGCCAAAAAGGGGCCAAAAAACACATTTTTCTAGTTTCCAGACAATAACTTGTGTTCAAGTGTATGGATCTCTCTGAAATTGTACTGCAAGGTAACATACCACAAAGGGAAGGCTGGGATTGAGTTTGGGGGTGATGAATCATAAGGGGGTTCAAAAAATTTGGGGGGGGATTTTTTTTTTTTCCTTTTTTTTTTCTTTTAAAATTTTCCATTTTAAGTTGGTTATTTCTGATTTATATTTAAAAGCAAATAATAATGATATGGTAGGAGATACACACCAAACAGGATGTGTAAATTATTATATAATAAGTATTGTGCAATAGCAAGAAATTTTCAATTGCACAGTATTGCACAATAGCAAGAAATCTTCAATTGCACAGTATTGCGCAATAGCAAGAAATCTTCAATTGCACAGTATTGCGCAATAGCAAGAAATATCCAATAGCACAATATTGCGCAATAGCAAGAAATTGTCAATTGTACAGTATTGCGCAATAGCAAGAAATATTTAATTGCACAGTATTGTGCAAAAGAAGATACTTCGTATAAATTGCTTATTTCTTGACCAATTTCAATGGGGTTTTATTCTTGAATTGTTGGGGTTTTTTAATATGCTAAATCATACCGTGTATTAAGTTTTTGGATTTTGGGCCCCGTTTTTAAATTGGTCCACATTGAGGTCCAAAGGGTCCAAAATTAAACTTTGTTTGATTTCATCAAAAATTGAATTATTGGGGTTCTTTGATATGCCGAATCTAACCGTGTATTTAGATTCTTAATTTTTGGTTCCGTTTTCAAATTGGTCTACATTAAGGTCCAAAGGGTCCAAAATTAAACTTAGTTTGATTTTAACAAAAATTGAATTCTTAGGGTTCTCTGATATGCTGAATCTAAACATGTATTTAGATTTTTGATTATGGGCCCAGTTTTCAAGTTGGTCCAAATCGGGGTCCAAAATTAAACTTTGTTTGATTTCAACAAAAATTGAATATATGGGGTTCTTTGATATGCTGAATCTAACCATGTATTTAGATTTTTGATTTTTGGGCCCCGTTATAAACTTTGTCCACATTGAGGTCAAAAGGGTCCAAAATTAAACTTTGTTTGATTTCATCAAAAATTGAATTCTTGGGGTTCTTTGATATGCTGAATCTAACCATGTATTTAGATTTTGGATATTGGACCATAATAGGTGAATGTCCAATTTAAAAATTTTAAGTTCTTAGACCACATTCATTCTGTGTCAGAAACCTATGCTGTGTCAAATATTTAATCACAATCCAAATGCAAAGCTGTATCAAGCTTGAATGTTGTGTCCATACTTGCCCCAACTGTTCAGGGTTCGACCTCTGCGGTCGTATCAAGCGGCGCCCTGCGGAGCATTTTATTGTGAGTTATCCTCCCCTTATCATGTTTTATTTTCTCATCTTGGTATCTAGGCGGAGTAGAATTTAACTTTAATTTGTACTTCTCTGCAGGAAAAATCTTCTTGCCTCCATCAACCTTGAGTTCTTAATGTAGGATTTAATAAAAAAAAATCATTCAAGATTTCAATTTGTGTCATTACTGTTTCCCAAATAAGAATTAAGAGTTGCATTTACTTCATCCACTGTATTTCTGGTGTTAATTAACTTTTTAAAAACTGAAAGACACAGAACTAAAAAGACTAATTAAAATATAAAATTAAACTGTCATGTATTGTAAAATCAGAAATTATTGCAAGGTTTTTATTAATGCGAATAATGCGACTAGGTGAAAATCACAATAATAAGAACTTGCATTCTAATATCTGATAGATATATCTGTTTGCAAATTTTCTTGAATCGCACTAATTAATCTTGCATTTTTTAACATTCTCTAAAAATCGGAATAATTTATGAATTTCCAGTAAAAAATATTGACCATTGAAAATTTTAATAAACCTAATAAAGATTATTAGATATATATAGATTCCGCCACTGCATCGAGTGTGATACGATATTTATTCACTCAACATCCGTTAAATTTTCAAATTTAAAACACGAGGCTCGCCGAGCAATTTTAATATTTAAAATTTATGGTGGTCAAATCAGTTTCTCTAATGATTTTTAGACAATATGAAGACAAGCTCAATCCTTCGTTTCGAATGATCTGCAAAAAGATGTGTTCTTTATATGTGACGTCATCAGGCATTGTCGCCTTTTTTCATGACGTCACAATAGGATAGGTATTCACTTATGTTTCTAAAATAAAGTAAAAATACTAAACTAGAGAAAAGAAATACAGTCCATACAAATGTTAAATATATAGAATAATTTCAGATGAATTTAGTGAGGAATTTATTAAAGAACAGGAGCAAAGGAAAGTAGGGACCAAAGCAGTGAAAGTTGTAGCACCAACAACAACCACAATAGTTCAGAAACCTTCAACACAGACAGTAGCTCCACAGCCGTCTGGCCTAGTAGCTCCACAAGTGTCTGGTACCAAAGTGATGATACCCACCAGAGATCTGTCATATCCACAGCAACCAAAGAAAAAAGTTGTGTCAAAGAAAGTGAAAACAGTTATTAAAAGAAAAGCTGATTCTGGTACTGCAAAATCAGGAGTAGGTTATATTTGTAGATCTGCAAAGAGTGAAACTAATTTTTGTCTTAAAAAAAAGGAGATGTGTATTTATTGCCAATAAGACATCTATCCATCAATCAAAGACCAAAACACAAAGATAAGAACAACTGCAGGTCGCGGTACGGCCTTCAGCAATGGGTCAAACTTATACAGTCTAGTAAGTTTTAAAGCCCAGTGACGACAAAGTGTAAATCAATTTAAAAGTGAGAACCAACTCCCAGATTTATGCTACAATAATTTAAGAAAAACAATTATTGGAGGCACAAATCGACAAAATGCAAGGCATAACAGGCTCCTTGCTAAGGATAGGATCATAAAGAATGTAACAAGTTAAAGATCTATGTGAGCAATCAAACCTCATTCTTTCCTGAGACATTGGTGTAACACCATCATTTGTAGATTTATCCATGATTACAGAAATAATAAGTCTGCTCATGACATAAAAATAATTTTTCACTTAAGATAAAAATCTATATGTGATTGAAAGATAAAATTGATTGATCCTTTATAAGAAGCAATTTTAATTTTCAAGTTACCAGGTAATAATATAATGAAAAATACACATACATTTATTAGTAAACTTAGAATAATATCTATTTATTACATTTAATAATCATGTACGAAAAAGGCAGCAAGTCCCAAAAGTAAATCACACGCCAAGCTGGCAGGTGGAAGTGTTCAATTTGACAAGTAAGAAAACAAAAAGGTTTCACACACTGTTAAGACAATATTGACAGATCTTACTACAGTGTTAAATTGAGAACCTCTAAGAATAAGCTCAACCATGTCAACGGACCAATAAGCTTTATAAACAATATCATCTTAAAAATCAGGATGTGATATCCTGTTTGTAATAAGATTTCTACAGATAAAGCTAGACTTTAATTTCCTCTTCTTCAACATAGGATAATTTCAGTGACTTTAGAAATGTCATTCTAACAATGCCTTAATTAAAAAAACAAATGTAAAATAATGTATCATCATCGATCTGTTTAAAAATAACAGTGAATACATTCACCTTAATTCACATCCACTTTAATAGAATATCCCCGTAGAATGATATGAAAAGAATTGTTTATAGAATGGGAGAAAAACTGGCTTCAGATGATGATGACATAATTGGTTCATACATGTAGCATAGTTCAGTTATTCCTGGTGCTTATATAGTTATAAGGGTCAATTTGAATAAAAGTGGGGTATACCAGGGTATGTTAATGAGACAGCAACCAAAGTACATAATTAACAGAAAGACATCTAGAAGGTAACTTACAGTCTTCAAAAATTACAGGTGTTTATGCAATATACTGCCAAGTCTTAAAAAGTTGTGAATAAACCAAACAGAAACAATTAAAAATTTGTCATCAACATCAAGTTTTAACAATAAAAAACGCATTAAGATATGACATATTTCAACCCCTGGCAAGGTTCCAAACTTGGTTTTAGTGTAAACATTGTGTTCTTTCAGGTTCCTGGTAGTGCAAAGAAGAAACCATCTTCCATTGTGGGAACAGTTAAACAACAATACACAGAACTGCCTGATGAAGAGTATGACCCACTCAATCCTTCCTTTGGTAAAGTAGCCAGTTCTGTTAAAGTCTCAAGAGGGAGGTAAGTTATAGTAACATGCATTGGGTCTGTTATATATGAATTTCAAAAATCTAATTTTTATGCCCCCGCCATAGCGGAGGGGGTATTAAGTTTTACCCTTGTCCGTCTGTACATCCCTACGTCCCAAAATTGGTTTCCGTTCTCTAACTTTAGTTTGCCTCAACCAAATGTTATGAAACTTATACACAATGCTTATTACTACAAAACACAGATCAAGTTTGAATTTTGGTGGCGTCACTTTTACCATTCTAGAGTTATGCCCCTTTACAAATAGAAAAATTGCTGAATTTTTCGTTCCCGTTTTCTAACTTTAGATTGCCTCAACCAAATGTTATGAAACTTATACACAATGCCTATGATCAAGTTCGAATTTTGGTGGTGTCACTTTAACCATTCTAGAGTTATGCCCCTTTACAAATGGAAAAATTGCTGAAATATTTGTTTCTGTTCTCTAACTTTAGTTTGCCTCAACCAAGTGTTATGAAAATTATGCACAATGCTAATTACCACAAAACACCAATCAAGTTCGAATTTTATTGTTCTAGAGTTATGTCCCTTTACAAATGGAAAAATTGCTGAATTTTTCGTTTCCGTTCTCAAACTTAAGTTTGCCTCAATTAAATGTTATGAAACTTATACACAATGCTTATTACCACAAAACTCAGATCAAGTACAAATTTGGGTAGAGTCACTTTAACAGTTCTTTAGGTATGTCCCTTTTTAATGTTATATGCAAGCGGGGTCATCATCTGTGTCCCATGGACACATTCCCCATTTATTTGACTCTTGATATGAGCATGCTTATTGCATCATTTGATCACTGAAAGAATTGCTGATGTTTCAAATCAAAACTGGAAACACCAAGCATTTTAACATGTTGACCATATATTAAATTTCTATTTACCAATGTTTTATGAGTTTTGTGATGTCTTATATCTACATAATATACATTTTTTTGTAATCCAAGAAAATTGGTATCCACGAAAATAAATGAATCCAAAGTATATAAATAGGAACAATTACAAACAAGGTTTGTGGCTTGGGGACATGCAAATTAACACGTAACTTGTTAAACCAGAATAGTTGATCATACCACATGTCTATAGAAAATGTATTTTGCACTCCTGTTTACCCATTGATCCATAAATGGAGAGGATTGAGTAGTAACAACTAAGTTAGAAAAAAATACAAGTAAAAATAAATGAATCTTATAAAACCAGTATTGTTACTCAATCATTCCCATTTATCTTGATCAATGAAAAAACAGAATATGGTTTCCATTTGAAAAATAAGGAGATGTGTTATAATTGCCAATGAGACAACTATCTACATGAGATCAACTGATGTGGATGTAAGCAACTATAGGTCACTGTAGAGCCTTCAACAATGATCAAAACACATACTTTATAATAAGCTATCTATGTTTATGATTTAGACGACTGACAGTACCTCCATCATTACAAGCTAACAAAGCACTGATACTGAAGGCCACAGCTGAAGCTGAGAAGTCTGTTAGTTCAACTTTACAGAATGTTCTCAAAGAGGAGAAACTATACAGTGCTAGAGGTATGAAAACAAATGAAATTAATCAGTTGAAATACATGTAGTATAAAAGTGGTTGTGTTGTAATTTGTGACTTAAAGTCACACCACTCTAAAAGTTTATACCTTAATTAAGATATTTACATTCATGGCTGTTCCATTAAAAGATAAATGGTACCCATAGAAGGCACTTTGAAAAAGGGATAACATCTATAAATGCAATTATAGAAATTCCTTTATATTTTCGTTCGCTGTACAAAACAGACATGAACCTCACTCATAGTTGAGATTTCGAAGTGCCTTCCCTGGATCCAATGTATGTTTCAATGGAACACCCCATTAGTATATTGATATGAATTATTTGGTTTGTTTAAAATTTAAAAATTGCTTCATATGTTCATCTTTCTCTAATTCTTTGGCAATTTAACCCTTTCCAGACCCATTGTATAAAAAAAAATAATTAACGTGTGGTTGCCCATGATCTCAGAAGATGATTGGATGAGTTTAAGGGTCATAACCTTTGTCTCCTAACTGGATGAATCAAGATGTGCTAACAGGTGTTAATGAAATTGACATCTTTGCAGTATGTGGAAGGCACTTGGAGGGGGTTACCGTTTATCAAAAATGAAAATTTATCTGGTAAGATTCTAACATAGTTACTCGTGGATTATTGGATATATCCAATCTCGATAGTTAAATTATCAATTTTAACTATCTCAATTGGATAAATCCGATAATCCTCTGGTACCAATGTAGGAATCTATATTTATCCTTAATTTCTATTCCCTGGTACCAATGTAAGGATCTATATTTATCCTTTATTTCTATTTGATATCACTTGTGGTCTTATCTTGATTAAATGTAGCAGCCCGTTTATATAGTGTCAGTATCATGCTTACACTGATGGGGCTGCTGTTTATTGATAAAAATTAATGGAATTTGTTATTTCAGGAAAAGCCCTTGTAAGACCTGTACAGAGAAAGGTACAAGAGTTACCAGAGTTAAGACACCCAAAGATTCGTCCAAACCTTGAATTAATATCCAAATCGAGACGTGAAGAAATGATGAGGAATATGACATATACAATAGAAAACAAAGAGTCTCCAGAATCTCCCGAGTCGGACGAACCAGAAAACATGAAAATCGTCATTCAGAATAAATTAAAGACTGGTAAGGTACTTCAGAATGCTAATCAAGAGAAAGTGACTTACACAGTTGTCAATAAACCACAAAAATCAAAGCAAGAGGACGTGGTATATACTGTTGATAAAAGACCTACAAGGATGCAATACATTACTCAGGCTGAGCCAGTTCAGTATGCTATAAGACAGATGCCACAAAGAGTACAAGTTGTAGGCAGTGTGCCTTCAGGGTATGTTGCTACTAATCAACCGCAGAATGTTCAGTACTTAACACAGCTTCCTTCAGGGCAGATGGCTTATACTGATACCACTGAACCACAGTTTATTCAATATGTTAAGGTAGAACGACAACAAATGGAGATGGAACCAGTCCAACCATCATTTCAGAGTGATAATAGAAGGATTCAGCATGGTATTTATCATCATTTTATTCATTTTGTCAGTGTTGTAACACCTTGAACTACATCAATTCTTTTAAAATTATGTCTTATTTTCTGTAACTTCACATAAAAGGTTAATGTTGTTAATTCACAGCTTTGAATACAGCTTGACATAATTCAACAAATTTTTTAATCTGAGTGGCTTTGGGGATTTCCCTGGCCAAAACATGAACTCTGCCATTTCTGCTTATATCATTCCGAAAGTACAGAAGTCACAATTACTTGTTCCTTGGAAGTCTCAACCAACTTAATAATTAAATCGTTGATATTAACTTGTAGGGGGGATGAAAAAGGTTCTCCTTTTGAGTTATGAGCTGGTATTCAGAAATTGTAATTCTTCCAGATTTTTATTTCATTGATTAGGTTTTTATTAGTCTTATTACTTTATTGATACTAAAGTTTCTATGTTTATTTCAATATAGTTGCTAGAGTTCAGCCTGTAATGGACAGTAGATTAGTAAAGAGGAAATCATTTGATGAAGAAATTAAGGATGAGATGGACAAAGAAGAGGAAGAGGAAACATCTGAAGAAGAAGAAGAAGAAGAAGAAGAGGAAGAAATGCTTCCAGATGTTGATGACACTGATGAGACAAGTAATGAAGGTCAAATGGTAGCAGGAAGTTCTGATGCTGAAGGTCAAGAGGTCATACAAGATGAGGAAAAGGAGGAGGTAGAGGATATAGACAGCCTCAGTCTTGAAGGTGGAGAGAAGACACCAGAACCAAGTCCTGAACCTGTTATAGAAGAACAAAAGCCTGTCCCATCAAAGAGATTAATCAGGGAAAGACAACCAAAACAGTAAGCCACTTTTTATAGTCATAGACAGGGTGCAATAAGTGCCTTATTTTTCACCGAAATTTGAATTTTTAAGTGGGTTTTTCGAAATGGATTACATAATTTAAATTTGTTTTGTCCAAAATTCTATTACTTCTTCATATCATCAAAAGAATGCCAGTACCTTATCTGGATGATGTTTTTTTATCATCATTTGACCGATTTATTTAATATTTGGTATGATTTGATCATGTTCATTTTATTCAATTTGCGGAATAAGAAGGAGAAAAGTAAACAATGAAAGTAGTAGAATTATTAGCACAAGACTGTTTACAGTCATGTTTTTTTATTATTTAGATAGCATTTTGTGTGGTTACATACTAATGATATATATATCTCTCCATCTTCTTATTCAGATCAAAACCAAAACCTGCTCAGATAAATCCTAGATTTATTGTGACATTAGATGGCATAGATCCAATGACATTTAGAACTGGTTCAATGTTTGTTGAAGACACACCAAAACGAGAAATACCAGTTGTATCTAAGATCACACCCCCATCCATAACTCCAATAAAGTTTGATCTGAGAGACACTGATGATGGTAAATTAATTGCTTATTTTTAGTTTCTTCTGATGAATTTTCTTTGAAAGTACAACTTTTGTAAACGTTTTCTAAATTCAAGTTTTGCTATCTGACAATAGAAAAATTACCTTTAAATATAATTTTATAATTTATTAGTGTCTGGCCAATCAAAGACTTTTTTATACCATTTGTAGGATACTTAATTTTGCTCTTATTAGAAAAAATAAAATTTGTGAATACAGTCACATGGGAACAAATGGTATCTTTATAACCAGACTGATAAACTGAATTTTAATATCGATACTGACCTCAAATTTAACAATAACACTTTTCAGCTTATTTTGGAAGAAATTAATATAACAACAAAAAGAAAACATTGGTTAGAAGAAAAGTCTAAAGTTTTGGGTTTATTGATACAAAGAAGTTTGTCAAAAAAATATCCACCAAATGATAATCAGTCCAAAGTTCCTGTTTTGTGTTATGTCACAAATTCAGTATGTAAGATACACACCCTTTTCAATGTTATTTCTTCATTTTATTTAAGGAATGACGCTATTATTTTTTCTGTCTATTCGAAATAACCTAAAAAATGTGATGCACACTGAATAACCCCCATAGCGGTATATTTAAAAGTGTGCACCACATTTTTTAGGTTATTTCGAATAGACAGAAAAAATAGTACAGTCATTCCTTATAATTTAATTATAAAAAGTAGTAAATCATGATAAAAACATTGATGACATCATGGTCACATGACAAAATTCTGTCTATGAGCTGATAGACAAAACACTTTCAACTAATCAGAAGATGTGTTACATCCAAAACTAGATTATTGTGTAATATGATTCTTACAAAAATCCCAGAGGACAAGTCAAAATAAGCTTGCAAAGGTACACACTTATTGGGAAGAAAATTATCTGTTAACTCCTCAATTTGGTCCATGTTTTCTTGCAGCTTGTCAGTTTCATTTTAAGTCCATCAGAGATATATTTAAAGAATCTGATTATTGATATAAAAATTGCAGGGTGAACTCAAGTTAATCTAAGGGAAATTGACACAGTTTAAGGAGAGATACATGTTAACATCAAAATGAACATACAATGTCCCATTATTAAGTTTTGTTTCTGATAAGGCCTTTATAATGAAATCTAATCACATGACTTCAAATTATAGAAGAAGAAGAAGAGGAGGCAACTGAAGAATCCCCATCAAAGAAATCCAAATTGACAGAAAAATGTAAATTTTGGCCAGCTTGTTCTGCAGGAAATTCTTGTACCTATCATCATCCCTCAGTCTCATGCAAGTAAGTATGTTTACCTTATACAACCTGATAAGCTGTTCAACTACACCAATCACCACATTTTGAGCTTTTTTAAAAAAAATAAATTTCTTTCAAGCTTTTCTAACAGGATTACCAAGGAATGAAGGAGACGTTTAATAGTTGGATAGTTGTAAAGACTTTTACCATTTAGCCCTAATCCTCTGCCGTCACCTGTTCATGTTACATGAAATTCTTAAAGTAATTTGCAAACTTTGGTATTAACATCAAAATTAAGGATGACTATTTCTTGTTATAATGAGCAGAAATTAACTATGGATAAACATAATAATGGCTATTATAATACATTTAATCATTTAACATAGTTGTCCACTTAGAAGGACTAAGAGGGCACTAATTTTTAATTTTTAATTGGGAAATTGAAGAGTAGACAGTTTAAGTTAAATGGCATTACTGGTTGTCAATTAAAAAAAATTGGGTGTAAATATATGGAAGGGGTTTTGTTTTATAATACATTAGTTTACTACTATAATGTGTGTAAAGGCTTAACTCTATATCGTTCATAAACATTCTTTAATAATTACCACCAAATCTGTTTACTTGTCATGTGGAACTTTATTTACAGAATGTTTCCTAATTGTAAGTTTGCTGATAAATGTCTGTACATTCATCCAAACTGTAAATTTGATGCCAAGTGTACAAAGAAAGATTGTCCGTTTACACATGCCAGTAAGAGAGGAATTGCTCCAACAGTTATAAAACAATGTAAGTTAATATACTGTTAGAAGGGATATGAAAATGAGTAACAGTTTAAGTTTTTTGTCTTCTGCTGTTTTTATGCCCCCATCGTAACGGATGGGGCATTATTAGTTTTCTTGGTGTAAATCAGGGGTGTACAGAATTTTACACCCTTGTTGAACAATTCCTTTACTCATTTTTAAACCGGGATGTAAATTTGAAAAATGCTTATGAAAAATTTCCAGTGTAACATTTTTTCAACGTTGATGTTGCTGCATATTGTCAAATACTTTTTTTCTTTATTTTGGGGAAATTCAGAAAAAAATTCTTGAAAATGGTTAAATTAAAAAAAAGGTTAAGGGGTTCTATAATTCAGTTTGACAGCTTCAAGCATACTATATTTTGACCTTTTGTAACTGGACCAAATCAGAACATTACATAAAAATTCATTGCCCAAATTTTTTTAACATGTAATTTCATCCCCCTACTTAATATTTTTTATGCATAGAATATGAATAAATAAATTTGGAAAGTGGATGAAAAATATTTGCAAGTTATACACTGTGCACACTGGGAACTATATTTGTAGGCAACGAAAATTAAAGGACGATAACTGTATCCTCGGACCATTTTCAGAAATCTATAGATTTCCTGATACATTGTTTTTGTATATTTCCTATCACTTTTCCAAAAATAGTCTGAGAAAAAAAGAAATTTAATGAATAATAGTGTTTATACTGTCATAGGTAGTGTCACTTAGGTCTATACATTGTGTCATTAATTTAATTACAGATATACCTATGCCTGTACATACAGCTCCACCATATAATAATAAACCACAGGGCAAGATTGTATGTAGATTTGGAGTGAGCTGCCAAAATGTATATTGCCCATTTCAGCACCCAACAGTAAGTCTCAGAAATGTGTGTTTTGTGAGCTATCCATACAATAGGAATATCCATTAACATAAACCAAAACAATTGGACATTGGCCATGTTGGCATAAAACATTTTTTTATTTAGTTAAATCTATCAGCATGCCAAAAAAATTAGAATTTTATAAGACATTTTCAATTTACTTTCTCATGAACTGAAGTGCTTGAGAAATTTTGATACATGTATGTACATTATTCCATTTCACTAAAATTATGTTATTCTGATTTTATGAAGTTGTGTTATGAACTTTTTTCCAGAACTGTAGATACGGAGCTAACTGTGCCAATAGAGCATCCTGTCCTTTCACACATCCACCAGCCACTCAGTCAAAAGAAAAATACTCTTGGACAGCTAATAAAAACTTAGATAATAAGTAGGTATCTCATTGAAGTGTGTAGCATTTTGTTTTTGTACGTGTGAGGCTTTTTGTTGTGTAATCCGTGTTGGAGTAAGAATTAGGATTATCATTTACAAAATGGTTGGGATGTGATATTATGTACACTTATTTAAAAAATCTATATTAATAAGCACATTTTAAAATATTGTTTTTAAAAATGCAGGTCTATACCTGTAAATTACTTATTGAAAATGAAAAGACATATGATTGAAGTTGTTCTTTCTGGTCATCAAATACCAAACTGAGAGCTGTTACTTGGTGAAGTTTCGTGAATAAAAAAATATACTTATAGAATATACACCTTCAGTGTAAAGATAATTCCTTGCCAAATCAAATCAAACACTGAAATTGGTATTCATTTTGGAACAAAGGCTGGTCGACAGAATACTATGTCTTGGCAGGATGACAGGACTTCCAACAATATGTTTCAGAGTGCAAGAATGTGAAAAACCAACTCAGTTTGTCAGATGAGTATAAAGAAACCTAAACCTGATGCACATAATATTTGGCATTCAATATGTAAGCACTCATCAATAAAGCCTGGGTTTTTATAACAAAAGATAGGTTGTTTTTTTAAGCTCTTTATGCATGTAATCGTTTTTTTTATTTAGATTTTTTTTAATTATTTGAAGTGTTTTTAAAACTTTTGATAGTTAGCTTCTTTTGTTTTGTGTATCAAATTAATTCTTCCTGTGTTTGAATAAGTCTGATAACTGTTGTACCTTATTTTGGAGCTGTAAGGTTACAATGCATGGTCTTAAATTTGATTGCCTTTTTGGAGCTGTAATGGTACAATAATTTGTCTGAAATTTGTTTATCTTTAGAGGTATTATTTCAGAATACATGGGCTACTATTAATGGTCTTTTGAGCTTAGGTTTAATTGCTTTTGGATCCTTAGTTGTTCAATATTGTGTCTGAAATTGAATACATATGGAAATGAAATGCAACACAGCTTGGTCTATAACTTAAATGCTGAGGAATCTGGAATTGTATAATAAATAGTCTCTAATGATTGCCTTTACAGCTGTAGTTTTACAATATATGATTGGAATGAGGAAGGCTTTGGAGATGTATTTTTACAATACAATAAAACATATCTGAGACAGAAGATTTTGTTTTGATTTGACAGATTTTCCTTTAAGACAGGTTATTCCATTACATAATATTCACTGTATGTTCAGTTTGGACAGGTTTCTTGTTTATTCATGGATCATTTTAAACAGGTTTCACTGTTTATTGTTTAAAATTGTATTTATTGTGTTGTAATTTTACAATACATGATCTGATATATTTTCATTTCATTTTTGGCATGATCAGATATATGATTGCCTTTTTGAGCTATGATTTAGCCTTATTCGGCTTGTTTGTGGGAGATAGCTGTCATTTTACAAAACATACTGTAAAATATGATTACCTTGGGAGCTATTATTGCACAATACATGGTATTACACTTGATAGGCATGCTATGTATACAGTGATATTGTCTTTGGGATCTGTTATTTTAAGTATTGGCCTGGACTTTGACTGCCTTTTGAGAGTTATAATTATTATATTCACTTTATGAATAGTAACAACAACAGGAAAAACCAGAATCATACAACAGACTTCCAGAGATCTCATATTGTAAAATTTGTTCCCAGACTGGCAGTTTATGATGAGCCTAATCTCTTACTTACTATACAAAATAAGGTGACTTTTGTGTTGCATGGTTGTCAAAATTATTATGAAAAATTGTATGCCTCACTTATTCCTAAAATCTTGGAATTTTAAGTTGTAAGTTAAGCTGCTATCAAGTTGAAGTTGTATGCAGAAACTCGGGAACCCATTAATAATTTTCCATCTGCTGCTTCCGTCCCCTGTAATTGAGAAGACATTTTTTTTATTTAATTTCTCACACTCTGTAACCAGGGATTTTTCCAACTATTTTCATGTAAAAAAAAAAGTTTGATTGTAGAAAATCACTATAAAAAGAACCCAAAAATGACACACTGTTGATTAAAATATTTATATTGCTTTCAAAACGATTTAAGATTTAATTCTTAGGATTTAGATTTCATATTTTAAAGGCTGTAATATTCTATATTTCAGATCAAACATTGCATGGTTTTGTTAATGATATTCTGTACTGATAATTTTAACACACAAATTTCACTTCTGATAAAGAATATTCTACAACATGAGAAGTTTAAAATTATTATAGTTTCCCACTTCTGTATTTGAAATATTAACAGCCAAAGGCTTTTAACTGAAAAATGCTCCAATCTATATCATCTTTAGTTATTTAAAATACTGATAAAAAATCTCTATTTGTGAAACATGCATGCAACAAAAACAGAATCTACATATAAAATACTTCCCTTGTTCTAGTCTTTCTATTGGCTGTACCAGTGGATATTATTATAATTAGTTTATTGGACTAGTAGTGGCTAAAATTGTAAGTGTTTCCATGTGCAATCCTTGGTGGTATATTGGTATTAAGGACACTCATACTCTCTTATTGCATTAAGCATTGATATGACTCATACTCTAGCTCTTATTACATTACACATTGAAATGACCATGCTGATTAAAAAGAGATATAATTACAGCATCTAGAATTCTTCTTTGAAATTGTCATAATAGTATGACTCTTAAGGTGAAGGAGATGTTCTAGTGACCTAAAAGATATATAATTGTCATTCATTAGTTGCTCTAGTTTGTAGAGACAACCTATTGTACCTCAAGTCACATGTTCATCCCCTAGTGGTACCTCAAGTCACATGTTCATCCCCTAGTGGTACCTCAAGTCACATGTTCATCCCCTAGTGGTACCTCAAGTCACATGTTCATCCCCTAGTGGCACCTCAAGTCACATGTTCACCCCCTAGTGGCACCTCAAGTCACATGTTCATCCCCTAGTGGTACCTCGAGTCACATGTTCACCCCCTAGTGGTACCTCAAGTCACATGTTCATCCCCTAGTGGTACCTCGAGTCACATGTTCACCCCCTACTGGTACCTCGAGTCACATGTTCACCCCCTAGTGGTACCTCAAGTCACATGTTCATCCCCTAGTGGTACCTCAAGTCACATGTTCACCCCCTAGTGGTACCTCAAGTCACATGTTCACCCCTAGTGGTACCTCAAGTCACATGTTCACCCCCTAGTGGTACCTCGAGTCACATGTTCACCCCTAGTGGTACCTCAAGTCACATGTTCACCCCCTAGTGGTACCTCAAGTCACATGTTCACCCCCTAGTGGTACCTCAAGTCACATGTTCACCCCCTAGTGGTACCTCAAGTCACATGTTCACCCCCTAGTGGTACCTCAAGTCACATGTTCACCCCCTAGTGGTACCTCGAGTCACATGTTCACCCCCTAGTGGTACCTCGAGTCACATGTTCACCCCCTAGTGGTACCTCGAGTCACATGTTCACCCCCTAGTGGTACCTCAAGTCACATGTTCACCCCCTAGTGGTACTTCAAGTCACATGTTCACTCCCTAGTGGTACCTCAAGTCACATGTTCACCCCCTAGTGGTACCTCAAGTCACATGTTCACCCCCTAGTGGTACCTCGAGTCACATGTTCATCCCCTAGTGGTACCTCAAGTCACATGTTCACCCCCTAGTGGTACAACTTAATTTAGAAGTTAAATCATGATCTGCTTTATAAATTGGTTACCTGGTCTAGACTAAAACTAACATATAGTTTTAGTTTTACAGCTTTATATTTGGATTAAAATTATATGAGATATTGTCTCATAATGAAAAGATGTACATGTTGAGAAAAGTATGTTTACAGGAAAATAAACCTAGATCAAACTGCCTACATTATGATTGCTGGTTCATTCTGTTATTAGCCATCTTTTTATCAATTATTTATAATCATCAGTAGTATGTTTTGCATATGTTTCTATTTACTTTATTTTGAACTTTCAGTAAATAAGCTGAGGTAGACAATTTTTCACTAATAATATTTGACTGTCTTCGTCCTTGTTTAGAATTTCAGTTGAATCTGTTTGCTTCTGTTAGTTTGCATGGAGCAGATTATATTTGAATTGTGTAAGAGTTCAGTTATAGTTGGGTTTCCCCCAAATTTTACAGTTGAATGCATGCCAAGCTTAATTGAATGCAACTTTACCAGTCATTGTATTTTTTGAGTATTGCATAACTATAGCATATAATCTTTTTTGTTTGTTTGTTTATTCAAATATTTGTTTTGTTAGAATCATTATTTATATTATATTTAGTATTATTATTTCATGCTATCAATTTTCCCAGGTACTCATTACAAGCATTTCATTGCATACTATCAGACTTGGGGATTTCTGCTGAATTTACATTCTCAATTTATTTGACATGAGGATAGATAAGCTTTGCTGTATGGTCAGTGCCTGTCTACCATTGAAAGCCAGTTGATGTCCTCTAGTTATGAATAAAAAATCATTTGAGAAATTTTCATTGAGATAATAACTTTATAAAAACAGAATAGAAAGCTGAATATAAACACATTAGTTCAACAATACTCTAGTGTCAAAGCCATGTGTCAAGCTCCTAATTGTCTCTAGACTAGGCAAGTTGTAGTTAAATTAGATATTTTTATATTATAGTTTGGTTGATGTCAGTTTTGTGGGCATAATGGAAAATATAGTAACTGTTCTTGGTAATCAACCCAAGCCTTCAAAACTTCTTTGCATTAACAGAGAGATTTGAATATCACATTTGGTGAAATTTTACAGATGTATCTTACAGATTGCTCTAATTTTTAGCTAATTTGTTTAAATAAAACTTTTAATTACTCTTATTTTTTACAGTTGATGTTGGTCTGCACGTTGGTCAGATCTATGAAATATAATTTGATATATTTGCTTTGCTATACTAACTTCAAGCTTATTTATTTGTTTAGTTTATGATTGTCACTTAAAATAACTATCATGATTATATGCACACATGCTCATGAGGTATTATGGATAGCAAATTGCAACGTTTTCTGATAATAGTAATGTATGGTGATGTTGCTTCAATTTTTCTTGAAATATGTAGCACTTTGCCATCTATAAAATAGTCATATCACCTGCATGTTATCATGAAAGGGTGTATTATTCTTTTACCATAGTATCCTAGTAGGGGGCATTTTGTTTTCCAGTCAATGTGTCCATCTGTCCATTTGTCTATCCCATATCAGATTAAATTTTTGGTATCGGATAATTTATCATGAAGTTGTGGTCACATCAGCTTGAAACTTAAGTACACATTTTCATCATGGTGAACTTTTTTTAATATATATATATATATGGCAAATTAAGGTTTTGACCCACATTTTGTTGTTCACTGAACATAGAAATGTGACAGTGCAAGCTAGAAATTGTATGTCTTATGAACACATATCCTTGTTAAATTTTATGATAAAAGGTACTGTGGATTCATTTATTTTCGTGGGTACCAATTTTCCTGGATTAAGGAAAACTTACATGTTCGTGGGTATTTAATTTCGTGGTTTTGCCGAAGTCTGCATAAAAGCCTATAGAAAATTTGGTATTCGTTGAACATTTAATTTCGTGGTTCACCTGTACCCACGAAATCCACGAAAATTGGTATCCAATGAATAATAATGAATCCACAGTATATGCTATCTACAGTTTTAATGTTTTCAGGTTAATTTACTGCTGTTGAATTGAATTTCAAGATTACTCAAGTAGTCATACTGCTTTGATTCTTTGATATTTGTTCGATATGATCTACTTTCCCATAGTTTTATTCTCTCCAATGTTTTGTATTTAAATATTGCCAGTACTGAAGCCGTGGCTACTGGTCAACTAATATTCTAAGGGACTGACTATCCACCTGCAGGGGTTCTAACCAAGTGGTAGTAATATAAATAGTATGATATCCATATTAGAGTGTAAAATACATGATTCTATAATAACTGTCATCACAAAAGAACAACTCAATATAATCTTTAAGCCAGTGTGGTAAGCATACAAATTCTACGGCTTTGATAGCATTGATTGTAAAAGAGGGTATGATATCCAGACACTTCAATTTTTCTAGTGAAATGTTACTTCAGAAATCTATTTAGATAAATTTTAAGTCAAGTTTATGCATGGGGAATTAAACACAAGAGTTGCCTGATGAGACTCCAATATATTTTATCTGCGGATAAATACATTTTAAGGTATGAAATTTGTGGTGTTTACTCACATTCGACTCTGAAAAATATATACCAACATAGAAATTTTATATTGTTGAAGGCTGTACAGTTGCCTATGTTTGCATACATCCACTTTATTTGAACTTTGGTGGATAGTTGTCTCATTGGCAATCATACCACATCTTCTTATTTTTGTATTAATCTTTCTCTTTTCAGTGCCAGAAAAGCAGATTTCAGAACAACAAAGACTTCAACAATAACTACAGTTATTAAACCATCATGATGAAGATAGAGTGTTATCACATGGAAATCTTTCAGCACTTGGTGCTAAACATTGTGATGTAGTAAATCTAGTCAGCATCATGGGACTGCTAATGAATTTTGTGGACAATGTTGTCAACACAATGGTTGTTTAATTTGAATGACAAGAGTATAATTTGTAGAGACATGGACAATAGTTTACCTTTTCGGTGGAAATGAAGTGAACAAATAATCAGGTTCTGTTTTGAAATACAGTTTTTGTAGTTGGCATTGTAATGTAATTTCGAAATCTTTAAAATGAAATGCCATCTTGTTATTGATGAAATTTAATAATTCAGGTTTTCATGTGTATGTAAATTTATTCTGTATTAAAGGAGGAAATGTGGTACAGTCCCTATTTGACCTAAGAATTGAAATATGACAAAATGATGTGAATTTTTGGAAAGATAGCTGATATGTTTATTCAAGTTTAACTGAGAGGAATTTCATATTTAAAGAATACTGATAATTGATATATATGTCAAAAGTTAAAATCATGAAGAATTTCAAATTTTTTGAAATTCTTCTTTATTTTGACTTTTCACATAAATATCAATTATCAGTATACAAAAATTATCTCATTTTGCAATACTTCTATTTTTAGGCCAAATATGGCCCTTCACACACTGCTTCCTTTGAATATAAGATTAGAAAGGGAAAAGGGGAAGTATATTTGTATTTGTTTTTTTATTAATGTTATGTTAACTTAGTAAGTGAGGGAAAAAACACTTTTATCTTTGTTTTATCTTTAGTTTTTTCCTAAGTAAGACAGAGTATGGTCAGAGTAAAGAAGTTTTTAGTCATTTTTATACGACCGCAAAAAAATTTTGTGGTCGTATATTGGTATGACGTTGGCGTCGTCGTCGTCGTCCGGCGTCGTCGTCGTCGTCCGGCGTCGTCGTCCGAATACATATTGGTTTTCGCACTCTAACTTTAGTTTAAGTGAATGGATCTTTTTGAAATTTGACCATAAGGTTAAATACCACAAAAGGAAGGTTGGGATTGATTTTGGGGGTTATGGTACCAACAGTTAAGGAATTAGGGGCCAAAAAGGGGCCAAAAATGAGCATTTTCTAGTTTCCAGACAATAACTGTGGAACGGTGTATGGATCTCTCTGAAATTATACTACAAGTTTCCATACCACAAAGGGATGGTTAGGATTTGCTTTGGGGGGTTATGGCTCAAACCGTTTAGGAATTAGGGGCAAAAAAGGGGGAAAAACAAGGTTGTCCTGGTTAATGGACAAATACTTTAGTACAAAACATAATTTAAAGCAGTGTAAGGGAGATAAATCAAATACATCATTGAAATTATCTCCCTTACACTGCTTTTAAATTATGTATAAAGTAATGGTTAATGAACAATAAAGATAATCTAAAACAGTGTAAGGGAGGTAATCCAAATACAACGTTTTGGTTACTTCCCTTACACTGCTTTTAAATTATGTTTAAAGAAATGCATATTTATAAACGAAGACCAGTAAAAATATCTGCAAATGTTTTCATCTTTTTTTTTTACAAAAAAATCCATATGAAAGATTTGACACTATATTTTTATTAATTCTATTATAAAATAGATTAAGTTAGCACTATGGTAAATTTAAATGGGTAATTATGGTTACCAACTCCATTGGAAATTTGAATTGAGATTATGACCATATCTTGAGGGAAAGAATTTTTTTGGGGGAAAAAGGGGGGGGGGGATAAAAAGAAATTGTGGGGGGCCAATTTTTTCTCATTTCAGATTTCAGAAATTAAAAAGAATTATTCTTCAAATATTATTTTTTTTTCAAATTTCAAATATTGAAAAATTTCAAGAAGTAATCTTTAATTGCACAGTATGGCGCATTAGATTTGTAAAATCTTTGATCACATTTATTTATTTGTTATGCCGAATCTAACAGTGTATTTAGATTTTTAATTTTGGGTCCAGTTTTCAAATTGGTCTACATTAATGTCCAAAGGGTCCAAAATTAAACTTTGTTTGATTTTAGCAAAAATTGAATATCTGAGGTTCTTTGATATGCTGAATCTAAACATGTATTTAGATTTTTTATTTTTGGCCCAGTTTTCAAGTTGGTCCAAATTGGGGTCCAAAATTAAACTTTGTTTGATTTCAACAAAAATTGAATATATGGGGTTCTTTGATATGCTGAATCTAACCATGTATTTAGATTTTTTATTTGTGGACCCCGTTATCTAATTGGTTCATATTGAGGTCAAAAGGGTCCAAAATTAAACTTTGTTTGATTTCATCCAAAATTGAATTATTGGGGTTCTTTGATATTCCAAATCTAACCGTGTATTTAGGTTTTTAATTTTGGGTCCTGTTTTTTAAATTGGTCTACATTGAGGTCCAAAGGGTCCAAAATTAAACTTAGTTTGATTTTGACAAAAATTGAATTCTTGGGGTTCTTTGATTTGCTGAATCTAAACATGTGTTTAGATTTTTGATTATGGGCCCAGTTTTCAAGTTGGTCCAAGATAGGGTCCAGTATTTAAACTTTGTTTGATTTCAACAAAAATTGAATATATGGGGTTCTTTGATATGCTGAATCTAAACATGTATTTAGATTTTTTATTATGGGCCCAGTTTTCAAGTTGGTCCAAATTGGGGTCCAAAATTAAACTTTGTTTGATTTCAATAAAAATTGAATATATGAGGTTCTTTGATATGCTGAATCTAACCATGTATTTAGATTTTTTATTTGTAGGCCCCTCTATCAAATTGGTTCATATTGAGGTCAAAAGGGTCCAAAATTAAACTTTGTTTGATTTCATCAAAAATTGAATTATTGGGGTTCTTTGATATTCCAAATCTAACCGTGTATTTAGATTTTTAATTTTAAGTCCCGTTTTTTAAATTGGTCTACATTAAGGTCCAAAGGGTCCAAAATTAAACTTAGTTTGATTTTAGCAAAAATTGAATTCTTGGGGTTCTTTGATATGCTGAATCTAAACATGTGTTTAGATTTTTGATTATGGGCCCAGTTTTCAAGTTTGTCCAAGTTGGGGTCCAAAATTAAACTTTGTTTGATTTTAACAAAAATTGAATATATGGGGTTCTTTGATATGCTGAATCTAACCATGTATTTTGATTTTGGACATTGGACCATAATAGGTAAATTAAAAAAAATTCAAGTTCTTAGACCACATTCTTTCTGTGTCAGAAACCTATGCTGTGTCAAATATTTAATAACAATCCAAATTCAGAGCTGTATCAAGCTTGAATGTTGTGTCCATACTTGCCCCAACTGTTCAGGGTTCGACCTCTGCGGTCGTATCAAGCTGCGCCCCAGCGAAGCATTTTATTTGATTTACAGTAAAATGTTTTTATGGGCAAGAAAAAAACTTTTGTTATTATTGTTAATTGTACAAATATGGTGATAAAAGTTGTATTATCATGCAAATGTAACCTGCTACTAAGCAGTGGAATATTGTTAGAGATACAATCAATTTCAAATGTTTTTGTTTAACAAAAGCAAAAGGTTGATATAAAAAGTTTAAAAAAGATACTTTGTTGAGTTTACATGTTTACATCATACACATATATGACATATTTTTAACACTACTGAAAAATGTATGTTCATCAACAAACATATTGAAACTTGTACCAGTAGAACTAGAACTCTATCAAATGTACAGTACACAAAACCTGCAGAATTTAAAGTGTATTGTATTATAGCCATGTGGCAGAATGTAATATCTATCTTGTTCCTTGTCATCTATGCTGTCATCAATTATTAATTGCATAAACCAAACAACAGATTCTTTTATAGAATTTTGTTGAATTTGCTGAAGCAAAGTAAATGAGATTTCCCTGAAAAACACGGGTCATCCAAGCTATTCATTCTAAATTTAGACAACAGTAATTTACCGATGTTCAAATCTCATAAATCCATTAAGATGACAAAAATCAAGTTAACAAACAAAACTGAGGAATCTAAACTCAGTTAAAAAGTATGCAATGATATATCAAAACAAAAACAATCTATTATATCAGCTATATGTATCAATTCTAAGCTTTTAAAAAAATCCAATATTGAAATAAGAATTTTGGACCTTGGAGGAAAGTTGTTTAATTGACAATCATACCACATCTTATTTTTTTATATTTAAAATTATGCTTTAGTCATATAAATTCTGTAAAATATTCTGATTTCTTGCATTTTTTCTAAATTTTTCAAATGCATCTGGAACAATATTGAACAAATGTTGAGCAATTTCTAAAACTTGGAAATGATTCACTTATATTCAGCAAATGAAACGTCTGATAACTAATCCTAGACATGTAGATTGGTCAGGATATTTACAGATTTTAAAATATTTCTAGATTCAGATATGTTATCAAAATGTATACCTCTCAACTCATGACCCCATATAGTGAAGTAAAACATCAAGCTACACTGAACAGTAAATAATGTCACAAGGTAGACTGTAATGGAAGATTTTTGATGAAGAAACACACGAAAAGTTAATTTGGATATTAAAAATGGATGGATGAAAGTGACACGTGCCAATTTTGTTTTGTTTTGTTTGAAGCTCAGTTCTCGATTTATCTCTATCAGGAACACTCAGATCCAAAAATGTATAACTACATGGAAGCAATACAATCTAACTGGGCTTAATAGATAACCAAACGTCTGTTCCCAGCTGGTCAGTTCATCTCCTCTTAGAAAATATTGCCCAAAAATGGTAGTTTTTACCCATTATTTTTGGTGTTTTGGGGAAAAACTTTACAAGATCGACAAAAAAAAAAGGCTTATTCGTGAATTATATTCTAGTCTATATTGTTTAAGAGTGGCAATTGTTGGAGATGCACATTGATCCAGTTGAGAGTCGCTGGCTCTTTGGAGCCTATAAGCTAAGTCAATAGATCTCTCGCAGAAGATGTGTTACTATGAGCCGGTACATTATGACCTTGACCTTCAATATCAAGGTCTTACTATATAATTTTTAGACATTTTCGTGCGGGAACATACTTTTTATACGACCGCAAAAAAATTTTGCGGTCGTATATTGGTATGACTTTGGCATCGTCCGAAGACACATTGATTTTCGCAATCTAACTTTAGTTTAAGTGAATGGATCTCTATGAAATTTTACCATAAGGTTCAATACCACAAAAGGAAGGTTGGGATTGATTCTGGGGGTTATGGTACCAACAGTTAAGGAATAAGGGGCCAAAAATAAGCATTTTGTAACTTCCAGACATAACTTGTGTGTTAGTGTATGGTTCTCTCTGACATTGTACCACAAGGTTCCATATCACAAAGGGAATGCTGGGATTGATTTTGGGGGTAATTGCCTCAAAATCTTAGGAATTAGGGGCAAAAAAAGGGCAAAAAAACAAGCATTTTTCTAGTTTCATGACAATAACTTGTGTTAGTGTATGGATCTTTCTGAAATTGTACTACAAGGTTCCATATCACAAAGGGAAAGATGGAATTGAGTTTGGGGGTAATTGCCCAAAACGTTTAGGAATAAGGGGCCAAAAAGGGGCCAAAAATAAGCATTTTTCTAGTTTCCAGACAATAACTTGTGTTCAAGTGTATGGATCTCTTTGAAATTGTACTGCAAGGTACCATACCACAAAGGGAAGGCTGGGATTGATTTTGGGGGTAATTGCCTCAAAATTTTAGGAATTAGGGGCAAAAAAACAAGCATTTTTCTAGTTTCAGGACAATAACTTGTGTGTTAGTGTATGGATCTTTATGAAATTGTACTACAAGGTTCCATATCACAAAGAGAAAGCTGGGTTTGAGTTTAAGGGTAATTACCTTAAACGTTTAGGAATTTGGGGCAGAAAAGGGACCAAAAAACAAGCATTTTTCTAGTTTCCAGACAATAACTTGTGTTCAAGTGTATGGATCTCTCTGAAATTGTACTGCAAGGTACCATACCACAAAGGGAAGGCTGGGATTGAGTTTGGGGGTGATGAATCATAAGGGGGTTCAAAAAATTTGGGGGAGGGATTTTTTTTCCTTTTTTTTCCTATTTTTTTCTTTAAAATTTTTTTGAATTGGTTATTTCTGATTTATATATAAAAGCAAATAATAATGATATGGTTTGAATAGGTAAATTAAAAAATTTTAAGTTCTTTGACCACATTCATTCTGTGTCAGAAACCTATGCTGTGTCAAATATTTAATCACAATCCAAATTCAGCGCTATATCAAGCTTGAATGCTGTGTCCATACTTGCCCCAACTGATCAGGGTTCGACCTCTGTGGTCGTATCAAGCTGCGCCCAGCGGAGCATTTTATTATCCTTTGACGCAGGATTTTGATATTTTGGGAGCATGGGTGCACAACTTGAAGACAATGTATTGTTTAGCATGGAAGATTGCCAATGAACTTGAACTTTGACTCCTAAGGTCAAATAATTGGTTATATTATGTCCCCCCCCGAAACACCCCGAAACACATTTTCACAACGCGTTGCAGGGGACATAGAAACTTTTGCCAGATTTTTATAAAACTTATACTATAGGTTAATATCAGCAATATCTCAGACAAGTTCTATAATGGTGGCCAATCGACTTTTTTTAAAAGAGTTATGCCCTTGTAAATATTAAATTTATGGAAAATGGCCTCGTTAGCGCTCTCACAGGTACAATTCTTGCCATATTTTTATAAAACTTATAGTATACTATAATTTATGCCCTTGAAGGTCTGTTTGAAATGTAATTTATTTTCTTTAACAAGATAATCAATGATCTTTAAAATATGTGCAACGCGGGGGACATTGGAACTCTGTTCTTTTATTTTTGATTGTCACAATAAGATCTTTAATTGTAAATTGCTTGAAAACTGTTCAGATCCCCCATCTCTCTAAGTCATATACATTCTCAATCATCATAATTAATTTTAGTACACCAGGTTTTGTCTGGGTAGTCTTCTACCGACACCTAATATCATTAATTGATAATTAGGGCTCCGCCGAATGGCGGACGCCTATAGTGATCACTCTGTTCGTCCGTCCGTCCGTCCGTCCTTAACAAATTGTGTCCACTCTATATTTTGAGAACCGTTATGATTTCAAAGTTTATACTTGACATGTATATTAACCAACACCAGAGGGTGTGTCATAATGTATGTACAACTTCCTAGGTCAAAGGTCAAGGTCAAAAACTTTGGTTTTAGTTGACAACCCCATGTCCTATGGTAAAGATCGTTTCCGCTCTATATCTTGAGAACCGTTATGATTTCAAAGTTTATACTTGACATGTATATTAACCGACAACAGAGGGTGTGTCATAATGTATGTACAACTTCCTAGGTCAAAGGTCAAGGTCAAAAACTTTGGTTTTAGTGGACAACCCCATGTCCTATGGTAAAGATTGTGTCCGCTCTTATATCTTGAGAATCGTTATGATTTCAAAGTTTATACTTGACATGTATGTTAACCAACACCAGAGGGTGTGTCATAATGTATGTACAACTTCCTGGTGCGGGCTGAAGTGTCTGATAATAGAAGTACTTCTGGAGAATGTCGTTCGTGTGATGAAAAACGCTGCAAATGCTGCCTACAGATGCATCACTCATCAACTTTTCACAGTAAGGCAACCGAAAATAACTATAAGATATTTTGCAATGTTAACTGCAAAAGTATGAATGTTATTTACATTCTAGAATGTTCGGTTTGTGGCCTCCAATATGTTGGTGAGTCAAAGCAGGCTTTCCACAAACGCCTCAATGGCCATAGGAGTGATATCTCTAAGAAGCCACTTCTCCCAGTTTCTCAGCATTTCAGACAGTCTGGTCACACACTTGATGACTTTAACCGCATGAAGATCCTAGTGATTGAACAGAACATTCACTGGAGTGATGCCCAGCGACAGGTTCGGGAAAGCTTTTGGATAAAGGAACTAAATGTACATCATCCAAACGGCATCAATAAAAAATACTAAGTTTTATTTTTCACTCATTTTGGGTTGTAAATATACACAGTCACGTATATTTGAGTATTGAGTTTTGTTTTATATTATGATGTTCAGGATTTTGGATTAAATCAATAGACCAAAACTTACCTGTATTATTGAGCTATTTTTATACATATTATCAGTATTGTTAAAATAATTGACACCGAAGAAGGCTATTTTTTAAGCCGAAATATTTGTCAACACGATTTATTAACAACATCTTCGTATAATACCATCTTATATTAGTATCGTTGTGCAAATCTCTAGACTTATATAATTTTTTTCCTTATCTGCACAGTATCGTCTATTCTAGACGATCCGGTACATAGTAAATTTGCTGGTTGGTCCTTTTTATAGACTTCTATATATATATATATATATATATGTATATCATGCCAATCCTTTTCAGTACTAGATTTTGTTTGTTGGATCTTTTCTCTTCTGGGGTGACTTCTATCGATAACGGGTTTATCATTCACTATTCCACGCAATGTTTATGCTCTGCTTTACAGAACAGGAAAACATACTGTCTTTCAGTCTTTGACCGATATCAAGTTAAAAAAAAGTTTGGTTTGAGATAGTTTTCCGTGAATTTGTGGTTACACAGACCTGCTAACTATTCCGGTTTATGGGGGATATCCCCCATTAGAGGTGTTGACCTGAATTTTTATATTTTATTATATTAATTTAACACCTCAAATCAGACATTCAAATGAGTTAAGATGGTATTTGAGCCCACAGATACTTATTCAAATAATAAAGTAGTAGATTAAAAACATTTATGACAATATAAGAGGAGCATTAGGTCCTCTTGCACTTAAATTTGGCAGGTATGGTTACATCATTTTGAAACCTTATCCATGAATTCATCGATGAGAACTTAATTAAATGCTAACAAGACCAATACCGGGTCTGGACCTGCGTCGCTGCATGTAATTGATTGAGGTTGCGTATATACTGAAGCATAACTGATCATTCTCTTGCATTAATGGCAAGAAGAAGACTGACGAAAATTTTCCTCTACAATGAGTGTTGTAAAATTTTAAACTATCAGCAAACAGGAAGTGACTGCACAGCCGATGTAAAAATATTTACACGCAACAATTCATCATTATCAAGCTCCATACCAAATATAAACTCATTTCCTTTAATACAGAATAAGAAAACTTTGACGAAATAATTATCCTTGTACAATCAGTGTTGTAAAAGTTCAAACTATCGGCGAACAGGAAGAGGGACTGGGTGCACGGTAGATATAACTAATTATTATCAAGCTGCAAACCGAATATAAAATCATTCCCTTCCATACAAACCAAGAAGACTTTGACGAATGTTTTCCTTGTTCAGTGAGTGTTGTAAAATTTCAAACTATCGGAAAACAGTAAGTGACTGCACGTCAAATGCAACCTTGACGTTGTCCACATATTCATTCATTTGTTCGTATAGCTTTTCAACTGTTTCGGGTCTTATTCATCATTGGCTTTCAACTATTCAGCTTTGAGCGTTCCTGGTGAAGGTAAATCCAGAAAATTAAGCGCTTCGGACGCATGAAATTTATAAAATGCTTTCATTTTTTACAACACTGGGTCGACACCGCTGCTGGTGGACTATCAATTCCCGGTGGTATCACCAGCTCAGTAGTCTGTACTTGACATGATTTATAACAAATCTTTCTTAATTTTTTTATATTTGCTTCGGACACTTAAAAGTTTATTTAGTGTTGTTTTCATATTTTATGATAATGTAATAATTGCTTAAACGCTACCGCTAATCATTATCAAGCTGCAGACCAAATATAAAATCATTCCTTTCAATAGAAGCCAAGAAAACGTCAAAGTTTTCTACCCAAAGAAGACGGACGGATGGAATCGAGCGGTTACTAGACGTGCTCTGGCCTTCGGCAACGCAGTTAAAAAATGTTTGACCCAGATTATGCAGTTCACTGTACATGGAAAAGTGATAATGTGAAATATACACATTCTCAGATTAAAGTTTTGGTTCAAGAGGTCTACCATGAAGTCATGGTCTTGTCAGCTTGAAAAACATGTAAATTATAATAGACTTTCTAAAATATATGCCAAATTAAGGTTTTTAACCAAACAGGAACATGACACATATTGCTAATTGTCTTCCATATCATAAAAGAACAAAATGAGTATTGTGTAAAATTTTATTTAATTGAACATTGTACATACAAAAGTACAAAAGTACAAATTATATGCAAACAATAAATTACTTTAATAACAATAATCTCATGGGTCTTGATTATGACTAAATAACAATAGCTTTATAATATTAACAATTACTGGCATGCATAAATATATGTTCACACTACCTAAGACAACCTTTCTTTTAAGAACCATTGATATGCAAAACGTGCTGTATCTCAAATATACTTCTAATATCCAAATTAAAGGATATTGGTTATTGCTATTTTTCAACAAAACTAAGTGTTTTTAAACCAAAATAAATGAATCAAAGAAAAATGTCTTGAGTAAATAACTGAAACAAATGGAATCATTCGAAATATAAAAAAAAAGTCTTTTCTTGAAGATGCATTGCACTCTTTAACTAAATATATTTTCAGTGAATTTCTAAATATTGCTTACTGGAGATGTGTGAAATCATATTTCAATTGTAAGAAGACTGGATCACTAGCACTTACATTAAATTAAGTAAATATTTAGTTTTACAAGATATTTAAAAAGTAAAATGTTAAATATTGGTAACAGAAAAAGAATAAATTATTTAAAATAAATGTTATGCCAAATATATTTTCCTATGAAATGTGCTTGAAATAGAATACTTTCAACTTTTCTTGAAGGTCTACAATAATTGGATAATTTCAATAATCCTTTAATGAGAAAAATTAAATTCAAATATCACTACCTTTACGCTGTTTCATTTCTAGTTATGAAAAGCACCAGACTAATCAAAATGTTTATATTTCAGTGTAATTAGGAGATAACCCTTGCAGCAGTTGGTATCTCTCTACACTATTGTGTTTTCGTCTTTGTTTGAGGTAGTAAACTGAAAGTGAAACTACAATTATAATGCACACAGCACCTATGACAATCCCTGAAACAGACGTGCTACTAATTTGATGAGTTTTATTGTTTTCGTCTGGCTGTCTGTTTTCTTGTCTGGTCTGTTGACGGTAAGAACCAAAGCCTTGTACTCGTTGACGTTGACTATTTTTCTTTGTATAGAAATATGGTTCTTCCTGAAGCAAGAGAAAAAACCCAATTTAACCACTTTATAAAGATTTCTAAATTACCTACTTCAGATAACAAAATCGCAATACATAATTACTGTAGTTGAAATTTGAATTACTGAATATGTAACTTCAAACTTGAGCAGGACTATTACGTGGCAAGTGAGAAACGAGACCACCAAATCCATTAATGATTGCTTTTTTTGTTAGTAGCAAAATTATAATTATGAGATCAATAAACTTACAGTATCAGGACATTCTGTTGGTTCTCCTGGTCTCCAGTATGTTCTTTTTTGTCCTACTGGTTCAATCTTGAATGAAAAATAAAGAAGGAAAAATTGAAAACATACAAGATAGCAGTATAAGAAAATCAGATACAAGGAAGAAAATCATTTGAAAAATTATTCAAGTTTTTTTTCAATTCACAATTTTTTGGGCTATTTCAGATATTCAAATCAAACTGACAGCATCTGGTCAAATTACTTTTTTATGAAATGAACCCGGTATACGGTGACCTATAGTTCTTAGCTTCTATGTCATTTTGTCTCGGGTGGAGCGTTGTCTCATTGGAAATCATACCATATCTTCTTGTATTTTTTTTATCCTTACAGAAGTACCACACTGTAGAGAAGTTTGGTTAAAGCATAAACCGTTCATATGACCATACGTCCATTGTTGCTACTCCAACGCTTCGGGTATGTATCAAATTAAGTTGCATGGTGCTCATAACCCTGACATTTTGAATAAACTGCGTATGATTCAGTTACAATAGTATAAGGTCAAGATTTTTTCTGTTTGATAGAACATTCCTACATAAGAATGTATTAACAAAAATGTCGAATTCCAAGGTATATTCGAAAGGAAAGTCCATAACTCTGAAAAAACAAGACGCTCGACTATATCTACCAACGGGACGACTAGAAAACAATATTCCCGACTTCGTACAGGCGGTTACCGAAGACAATGGACGAAACCTAGTTTTATAGCTAACTAAACATAAGACTGTTTCGTCTTGACTGTATTTTTTATGAAACTTGATTCAGTGCTTATTCATTTTACATAAGTAAGACATATATGCAATATCACAAAGAACTTTTAAGTGAATTGGAATGTTTCTGTTAAAGGTATGGTTCTATGTATTACACTAAAGAAATTGTCATACAATCTTACTTTTATCCATTTTTTTGACGATTTTCATGAAATCAAAATAAGCAGACGTAATCAAACACAATTATTTTAATATGTCTTACCATGTTATCCCAAAGTGCACTAGCTGCAACTTCTTGTCCAAGCTCGCTGAAGTGAAAACAATCCGGTGCAAAATAATCCAAATCAGTAGAATTATCATCCTAAACATAAGAAACAAAGGTACTTTATTTGAAAACTTATAACAATTCATTTGAAAAATGATTTCTTTAGAAAAGGAAGTGATATAAGTTTGTCTTAGATGTATTTGGTTACTATTATTAGGTCCCTTTTGATGAAGGTAAATCAAGAGAACCGCTTCGGACGCATACAATTTACTAAATGCTATTTTCCATTTACTTTTGCAGAAGAGGTACATGCATTATTAGGGCAATGAATGGAAATTCTACTACTAATTTGATTGGGTTTGAAGCGCTTTTCTGGATTTACAATCACCAAGAACGCTCAAACCAAAAAAATTAAGGTCAAGGATGAAAAATACTTGAAAAGCTATATGACAAAAAGGGAAATAAAAGAATAGCCTAATCCACCTTCAGTGAACTGTGCTTGAGGGAAACTTCATAACTTTGATTGTTATTGTTGGCCTTGTGTATGTTGCTTTCCACGCTAGCATATCAAAGCCTAGTAGTCAGCATTTGTGTGTTTACATGAAATTACATTGATAATAGCAGTTTCTATAAATTAACTGTTGATAACATTCTGATATTTTCGTAACACTAAGGTTTTTTTCATCAGAAATAGATATCCAAAGCCGTATTTGGCAAAACTTTTCAAAATTTTTTGTCAATACTTACGTTGACTGGTATTTTTGTTTCAGAAAGGAATGGTTGATTGACAACAGTGAAATCATCTCTGGTATCATAACGTCCAGAGTGTACTAAATCCTCCAAACCATTCTGGTATTGAATAACCAGAGCTTTTAGTTCATCCTTATTATCTCCAGGAAAGGCACCACATCTACATGTAAAGCTGGGAAAATTAAAAATGTAAGTATGATCATTTTTGTTCATAAATAATGTAAATATACTTATACTACGTTTACATCTCCCTCAGACCAACTTGACAATAGACAAATTAGCCTATTATATTGTTCCCTAAGGCCTGGCTTAAATTTTACAAGATGAAGGTTACTAGTGACTTACTACATACCGTAAAATGTGTATTGAAGTATATATCAAATGAAAAAAATAACACCGAAGTGCAAATAGTTCTAAAATTAGAGACAACAATAGCTACCAATGTGAAAATTTTGCAAACACCATTCAGAACATCCAATTGAAGTTAAAAAAAACGAGGGAATCCAATAAACTTCAAAAGGAGGTGGACCAGATGCATCGACTTCTGCTTTGCATTCATCACCAGCCACGGAAATCCCCATGCATTAAAGTGTCAAAATATGGAAAAGGACACAATAGGAAAATTTACAGGTCAGACTATTCCACAATCGCAAGATTAAAGACTGCAAAAACATGTCGCCAATATGTTAAGACACAAACACATCTTACCGGTCAACCGGAACGTATTAATTGAGATAAATATACTGAGGTATGGGTTATGAGAGACGAGACACTATCATTAAATCTTGAAATCAAATCAAAGAGCTTGGCAAGGTGTTTTTCGTTTCGTCTTTGGGAAAGATTTCCCAGAAGTTCTTCACAAAAGAAGATTATTCACGACCTTTTAAAATTAGGAATGTTCATCTTCGATTCCCAGTTTTGTAGAAAAGCATTGTTCAAGAAAATCCATGATATGTGAAAACAATAAGGACCAAATATATATGAGGACATTTGTATCTACCATTCGGATTGCTACGCCATTCAAGACTTTTATACTTATGTTTATTAAGATTTCTTCACTTTTTAAATGTTGTTTGGAACGTTAAAATACAACTATAATGTTAATAAGAACTTCATAGATGCTCTACATCTCACTGGATAGGGAAACCTTATTTACACCATTGGTTTGAGTTTATGTCGTTGATATCCATTATTTTTAGTTATGTCAGTTCTGTAATATCAAACATACATTTCTTTTTCTTTTACCACAGTAGCTGCATATATTCTTCTAGTCATACTTACTAGTGAAGTGTATCACAAACCAAGTTTTCGTTTAGTAATGGTACATTGCCAATATCTAAAACCTCCACCACATTAACAAAAGCTTTTGGGACTTCTTTGTGGAAGATATCCAATGCCTCTGTGATAAATCCAATATATTTTTGTACTGTATATTCTGGCTGCAGAATTAAATTCAAAATAAGACAAATTGAATAATTTAAAATAGGATCTCTATTTCGAGGAGAAATAATAACAATATCTTAATGTTTTATCAAGCATTTTAATAGTTGGTCTTGTTTGACTTTAAAAAGCAGTTTTACTTGCAATGAGTGCACTATATTTAGAGTCAGGCATCTGAGTTCTAGCAGGTGATTGATTTGTTGTGTTGTCCGATTTCAGATTTCTTTGTAATATTTTGTTGTTTCGTTTTTCTTTTTATCATGTGGTCTCCCGTCTTTCAACGAGTGATATTTTTATAGCCCCTCATTAATACGTTATTTCTTTGTTAAGAGCTTTAAAACTAAATGACAGTTTAACAACCAAAAATTTTATATTATTGTAAGATCAACTATTAAAATCCACGGTTAAACATAAGATAAGGTATTGTATTACACCATGTAATGGAGATTAAATTTCAAATATTCAGACATTAATTCATCTGGGGCAGTGAAATTGGAACTGTTAATGTTACTAAATAGTGTGCTCGCAGAACAAAACCATATCATGTAAAGGTCATTATCGTCATTTGGATGGAACAAGGAAAGAGTGGAAAGATGAAAATGGATGGTTCACATGAGCAATCATATCATATCTCCTTTTTATATTTTTATATTTTTATAGTTATATGGATATGTAGTGAACTTTGTACTAGAAAAAATGAATTTAACATAATAACCATGCAAAATGTTGCTTATTTTGGAATGTGTTCCTTGGTCATCAAATTCTAGCCTCAAGTTCCTACCCCCATTTTGTTTATATAGCTCCGTATGTTTTTAATCATCTGCTTTCTATTTGATATTAGCACTTCTGATGATACTTTTTTTAAAGTTTTCATTAGAAACGTCCGTCTTACTAAAAATAAGTTATTTATATTTTATTATGATGGTGAGATGTTGTTAAAAAAATATGATTACCAATCACTGACCAATGCAGTTTTCAAATTATTACATATTTCAGAAAATTATGGAAATATTTATCATTCATCTCATTCAGCAATAAATATCTATTTCATTGTTATTTTAATTGTTTACCCTGTCACCACAATAGTCACACAGATCATTCCCACCAATGAACATTGTAATAACTTTCCAGTCATTCACGAAGTCAACTCCTTCTTTGCCAGATTTCATTCGATCTACCAACAATCTTGCTTGGAATGGCATGTTTCTAAAGAGAAAAAAAATATTACGATTTTTACTTGAGTTAAGTGAATTCTTACCTCACATTACGATTTGCTACTTATTACCCATATAACATAGTAATGTTACAACCTCAAAATGAATGGTAGTGTAAGATAAATTACAAATTACAACCCTTATTATGTTACAGTGATTTCAAAATAAATCTTGTTTATATACATCATTTAACAGTTGCCCAAATAAGAGTTAAAGTTTAATTTTTATAATCAGTTCTTGGTCGTCTGAGTTGGATAACTGAATTACTTCCTGAGCAAATGTTTTGTTATTACTGCAAAATGTCATGGACAGTTAAATACAGTATATATTCTGTTTATTTGAAATTCTAAATTTTTCATATTTAGTACTTGTTTATACAATATGTAATATGTGGATGGAATGATCTGTTATTACAAGATCATTTCATTCTAGTAATGGTATGTGTCTCGATATCTAAAACTTCCACAACATTAACAAAAGCTTTTGGAAGTTCATTTTGAAAGATATCCAAAGTCTCTATGGTATATCCAATATATTTATAAAAAATTATATCTTCTAAAAAAAAAAGATTAATATACCACTTTCTGTTCATTTACAAGTGGTAGGAAAGCCAAAGTACAGAAATTTTTTAACATTGAAGTTGCCCAATATATGCAACAGTAGTTTACCGATGACAATAATAGTCAGTCATGACAATAACAGTCAGTGTACAGTTGTTCTGAAATTATTAGTTGATATTCCTGCTTTGTTAGTTTAATTGGATTTTGCGGCAATCTTTTAAAATACAATTATGTGGCAGTAGCACAGTGAACAACAGCTAAATGATTATATATTTTGGAACTGGTATTTTTTTCTATTTCTTCTTGATATATAATGAACAAACCTGGCCTCATTTCCTGGATCTGCCACGTTTAAATGAGCATTTTCACTTTCAAAATCACCACTTCCGACAGAAAATCCTACCAAATTTGGATTATATCGTTTCAGCATATCTAAATAATGACAAAAACATAGATAGAAAGTATCAGAATGCTTGCTTAAATTGATTTGAGTGTTTCCTTTTGATAATTGGTCGAATCTTTTATCTTATTTCTTAAAACTATTTGTTAATTTTCACTGTAGTCATGGTCATTCTGTGTATTCCATTTGGCGTAATTCAGTTGTATCGTAAAGTAATGGTTTAGCCTGCAAAAGTTTATCATATTACTTTTACTACGCAAGTTCTTAAACCACATCCTTGTGCGTAAACATTTTTGTTTTTTTCCTGTTACTGCACTATTCTATTTCTTTGAATGAATTGTTTGTTAACATTGACACATTTGCTTAAAATTTGAGTGTTTCCTTTAAAGATTATTAAGAAATATGTACAATTGATTCGCATGCGCCAATCTCGATATGTCTAACTTTGGTTTCAAGGTGTCCACATGTGTTATGTGTAATGTAAAATTGTATACCATATTCTGTAGGTTTTTTTTTTTTTTTGGCTGAAATGCAAAAAAAAATGTCGATTTGTAAGTGATAAAAATTTTGCCGTCGCAAAGTACTTTAATCTTACTTGCTAGTGTTATATGTTCATCAACACTGCCATCGCCACCAACACTGAAATAAACAACTGTTTCTTAGTGACATCATTTTTTTAAAACTCACCGTACACAATTTTAATCCTGGTATCTATGATGAGTTTATTATAGGTTGACTGTTCATGCCAATTTCTGTTTTCATCAATTCAATTACTGATACAAACATTTGAATGCCATCAAACTACGATTAGTAAATAAAATTTATTGGAAAAATAAACTACACATATTCCCTTTACATCTATGACACTCTTTATCCTTCGAAACACGAAACCACAAATCTATAATGGAAATTGTTGACTATAATACCTAGCGAAAACCCAAAATTTTATATATAAAAAATAATTTGATCAATATATTTGATGTCATATGTTACCTCCAGGAAAGTCCCCTGTCTTGCCTCAGTAGTCCAATAGGTGTTTTTGCTGTAATTCCAGTTCCAGCCTTGAGTAAAATATAGAACGAATATTTAAATAATTCTGCAGATTTTTAAAATACAGAAAATACAGAGTGTACACTGTCGTCTTCAAAACGTCTTGAGATCGAACATTACATGACGATTTTTATTATTAGACCAGTCTTGCTAGTCTTTATCCATATTGTAACATGGCATAGATTGGTGTTTTTCGTGTGCAGTTAGTTTACAAACTTAGATGCCTGCACGAATGCTCTTCATGAATATATTTATAAATTTAGGATTTAAAAAATCGGAATCACTTGAACTTAAACGTTAGTAAGAGCAGTTGCGTTGAGAGATTTTTTATCAATTAAACGCTACTTCAGTTTACCAAATGGGCGAATTGCACCCTGACACAGGAAATCACTTTTTTTGCATAACGGTATTTGTTAAACCTCGTGATGAACAACTACGGAAAAAGTTTGACATTGTGTACTCACTTTAAATCACAAACAGTATTCCACAAATACATTAATTTGGATAAAATAAATAGTAGGATAATAGCACAAAAAATTACTAATCGAAATATATGATATAACAACCATCTACAACGGTGTATTAACTTCACAAACATATAGTCAGTTCTAAATAGGAATTGGAAAGCTTACAAGAGTCAACACCAGACATCACGTTGAAAACAATGGTATTTTTAATAATATTTTACTTACTGTAATTGAGTCACCAATGGCAGCAACCACGTTAATGTCAGCTGGTGTCAATTCATGAACTGAAAAAAGAAAACGAAATGCACAGGGTAATTTATTGAATATCATTCTCAAAACGGGATTTTCTAGTAGATGCTGTAACTATTTTCCTTCCCTCCTTTTACGACAACCAAAACTGATAGAATCTCGTCTCAGTAGTTTTCTTTTTTTTCTTAAAAAAACTAGAAGATACCAAACTAAGACCAATGAAACAACGAAAAGATACCAGACTTATATCAATGAAACAACCCCACGATACCAAACTAAGACCAATGAAACAACGCCGAGATACCAGTTTTCCTGATTATCATCTCAACCATACTTAGAAGCAACATTCTAGTACTATCTTGTCTCTCTACGTTGTTGCCCTTGACTTTCAGGTTTACAAAATAAAGTCACTACATGTTCTTACCATTGAAATTTTACTTATAGATTTGTTTGGACGACTGGAAAAATAACAGGGATGTAAGGAAGATAAATATTTAAAGTAGCCATGGACATTTTTTCCAAGTATACACGTTTTCACTCCAGTATTTGTCTGTTTTCCCCGAACATACGATATAAAAATTAATTTTCAATTTTCCATACTATAGTTTTACAACTAAACTAAATTTTGCACATTTAAGTCTTGAATGTCTCGTAATAAACATTCTTCGGCATAGCATGTTGATATTATAGTATTTTATTCAAAACACATCTGCATTCCAACTTTTGGGAAAACTTTTTTTTAAATAAGATTTGGATTTTCAAATATTTTGTCCTCAATCATCACTAAGGAGACATTTATTGTCGAAATGAGTATTTGGTGCAGAATGGAGTAAGACTTTTGAAGTAGACCCATTTAAGAACCAAATTATGGTCATTTTGAAATGTTATGATAAAGTTGAAATTCAAGGCCATTTACGGCCTAAAGTGAACCTTGTCCTATAAGTAAAAATTTGTACCGTTAAATGTAATTGGTACTTCTTGCTCGATACCTCTAATGGTGAATTGTTAGTCCACAAAGATTTCACGACGGACCCTGTCTCATAATACAAACTAGGATTTGGTTTTTCAAATACATATTAATGGTCTAAATGTGCATCGGGTGTAGTAAAATATATAAGTACCGTATAATGTAATTAAAAAGTAAAAATAGAAGTGTTTTCAATGGTTACTAATATCTATACACTATCTGACCTTTGAGATAGTGTATTTTGATAGTACATTTATCTACATAACCAGTTAAACAGATACATGTATACACCGGGTACATGCATCTTTTATCTAGAGCATCATATTTTCGACTTTGTAACTTTTAAAGCGCGTAATAAAAATAAATCTATGGTTTTTGAATACATGATGACACTGTTTATTAAAGTTGGTAAACAGTGTAAGTATAATGCACTCGTCTGTTTCAACCGCCTCGGCAGTGTCGTGGAATCGTGTTTACCAGCTCAATAACGAGGTCATGTTCTAATCAAAATTAACCCAGCCAGGTCATCATACCAAAGACTAGAAAACTGGTATTATCTGCTTACTGCTATGCACGCGGCATTAAGGAGTAAAAACAAAAACTGGTCGACAAGAAATCAGAATAACGTGTCTGGTTTGGGTGACATGACCTACTGCAGACTGTTACCTTGTAAACTAGTATGTTAAAAAAATCCGACCCAGCTTGTCGGTCCCGTACAAAGGAGGGTTCACATCACATTAACACGTTATCGTCCTTGTATATATATATCTAACATTTGCAACTGGACGTTTAATACCAATCAATCTATCCATCCACCATTTGTTTACAATTCAAAATAAGGATCCAATTCGAACTTATCAAACTATATCTAGCTCTTCAAAAAATACATTTGGTAACAAGCTATAAAATAGATTTACACATATTTTTTTTAATTGAAAAAGACTTTTAAAGAGACAAAAACAGGTTGGAAATATTCTGCCAGATAGTGGTATAATATTGAAAGAATACATAGTCATAAACAATCTGTGTAAAAATATTCATTACCGTTTGTTGCGTTCTTGTTTAATCTAAATCCTTCACATGGAAACTGGACACTCTGAAATTCACAATATAAAGTAAACTAATTGAATAAAATCAATTGTCAGAAAAAAAAATCTTTTACATGGCTTCAAGAACTTTGGAAACAGTTTTTAAAATACCTAAGCTATAAATGATAAATTGATACATTAGTCTCTGGTATAAAAAAATTATCGGGAATGCTAGAAAGTGAAAGTTTGGAAAACCAAAAAAAAAAAATATGAAGGAAAAATTGAGCATAAAACCAAAAATACAATAACAAGACAACCAAAATAAGTCTAAGGTAAAACCAAAAATGCAATAACAAGACAACCAAAATAAGTCTAAGGTTAAATTTTGACTGAGAAAGTTGTAAACTTAAGTTATATACAGTTACAAAAATTGATGAACAGGAACTTTTCTCACTTGATAGTGTAATGAAATGAATCAGAGGTTATTCAAAACCTTTTTAAAAACAAAACATCTTGCATCATTTAATTTCAATATCAGATAAGCTGATTTTATAATTTTATATTTTCACCGATTAATCTATTGTTTTCTACACATTTTATATTTTTGTGAGAACTTAAAAACTTAGATCAATAGTAAACGTGATGATTTCTAAACTTCATATTTTCGACTACCCCACATACCCTATAGCGTTTACATATGTCATTTGATACGACATGCCAAAACATGTTATCCTAATCGTGATTTCACAAAATGAGATTTCCTCTGTTATAATGTACATGTACATCCTATAAGCTGAAAACCAGGTTTAATCCGCTATTTTCTATATAAGGAAATGCCTGTACCAAGTCAGGAACATGAGTTGTTTTCCATTCGTTTGATGTGATTGAGGTTTTGATTTTGCCATTTGTTAAGGGACTTTCCGTTTTGAATTTTCCTTTGAGTTCGGTATTTTTGTTATTTTACTTTTTGCTTCTGGTTTAAAATAAACTATTTAATTCATATTCAAAAAACAACCCTAGCAAAATCATGAGAACTCAAACTTCATTGGTTCTACAGTCGACACTACGTACACGTGATCGTAAGAAGCTGACATGTATAAAAAGCGGGAATTTGAACTGCCAATGGAAAATAACGGTATATTGGAGAAGGGAAGGAGTTTTATCTTGTAACGGGCCATCTATGAATCCCTCGGAGATGTTGCCATGGTTTTTTAACGTACAGAGAGCGTGACACTCTTCCCAAGAAAGGGTTTAATTGCACCATTCCAAAAGGACGTGACTGCGTATTTATACATCACGCAAAGCCAATAACCCTCTTTAACATGGGTATAATTGATAGGATGCAAAAATCAAGGGATAACCATAGTTCTAGAATCAATTCAACCCTTGGGGTTAAACAGTTGTTTAAGTCTCTCTCTCTTGTTTTTTTTTAACTCTTTTGTGTACTTGCCTATTTGGCACTCTAAACATTTTGAGTTGGTTGAACCTGATGACGGTTATACAGAAAGCACGTACTTGTCTACTGAACTCGGTATCCGACATTTATATTTTAGACAGATGACGGATACTAAACCCCTAACGGGAAGGATTGTGCCTGATATTCATATGATGAAGACATAATCTTTCAATCAGTTTAATTGAAGTCTGGAGCTGGCATGTCAGTTAACAGCTAGTAGTCTGTTGTTAATTATGTATTATTGTCATTTTGTTTATTTTCTTTGGTTACATCTTCTGACATCAGACTCGGACTTCTCTTGAACTGAATTTTAATGTGCGTATTGTTATGCGTTTACTTTTCTACATTGGCTAGAGGTATAGGGGGAGGGTTGAGATCTCATAAACATGTTTAACCCCGCCGCATTTTTGCGCCTGTCCCAAGTCAGGAGCCTCTAGCCTTTGTTAGTCTTGTATTATTTTTAATTTTAGTTTCTTGTGTACAATTTGGAGTTTAGTATGGCGTTCATTATCACTGAACTAGTATATATATTTGTTTAGGGGCCAGCTGAAGGACGCCTCCGGGTGCGGGAATTTCTCGCTGCATTGAAGACCTGTTGGTGACATTCTGCTGTTGTCTGTTTTATGGTCGGGTTGTTGTCTCTTTTACACATTCCCCATTTCCATTCTAAATTTTATACTTGTGCTAAACCATGTTACTGTTTGTCCAAAATGATGTTACTGCGATTTAAGAAAGGTACAACATTTGTCATTATGAACATTATACAAAAAAAAAAGGATTTAAACGTCACTTTACCTTTGATTTTGCTCTGTGGAATTTTTTAATATGCTGATCGAAAAGTTTCATAAATGTTTGGTTTCTGGATTGTTCTTCCAAAAAATGTTTGTATTCTTTATACTTCAAAGCTGAAAAAGAATAACTGATATAAGCATTGTGTTGGATATTAGAGTATTTTTGTATTCATTTGTTCTGGAACTATTTGGTCTAATCCGTTGTTGATATGGCTGTTACTTGTATTAGCCTCTATCGGAACATGCAACCAAGAATAAAGTATGGTCAAGTTATTCGTTTTTTTTTTGTTTTTTTTTTTTGTATACCTACTTTGATACCCTAAAATAAGTCAGATATGTTACAATTGGACTCAAGAATAACTGAACATTAAAACAAAATTCAATATCCGGGATCTTCAATTATTCGTCGCTATATATGTTCCACTTCATGTACGATTTCCATAATATTTGTTTGTGATTTGACTCATTTAGCAAGTATAAAAGAAAAAAATCATCATGCGTCAAGTCTCTATTTGTCAGGATTTTCGTAAAGGGCACGTGGACTCTGAAACATTAAAATTGTAAAATAATCTGTAAAGTAAATCGTGCTTTTGGAACAGAAATAGCGTCTCATGCAAATTTTAAATTATTTACGATATCGTGTTTGTTTCATTTTTGTTTTTGGTTTTGGTTTGTTGTTGTTTGTCAAATTTCAATACAATGTTACATTATTCTGTTATAAAACATTACACTTTTAAATGGTTATTTGTTGTATATATTTCTTTCAAATTGATTTTTGAACATAGCCATATTCTTTTACAAGTTGTCGTCTATCATGTCTATGTATGTAGGTAAAATCATTGAAATAATTTTAAAATATGCCTGATATAATAAATTTGTATTTAATGGAACAAAGCCTAAAAACAAATTTGGGATAGTGTTAAGAAAAATGTTTGCAAAACTCATCAGGATAATATTTAGTTTCTGAATTAGTAGTGGAACAGTTACACAGGCACTTGTTTCTATCCATGGGAAGGTCGACTATCCATATATAATAGAAATGGATAGTCGACCTTCCCATGGATAGAAACAAGTACCTGTGGAAAGTTATGTTCATGTGATAAGGATGCCATTCACATTTGCCGGAGCGGAAATCTATTCTACCTTAACTGAAATGCAGATGACAGAGCGCTTGACCAAAAGGAACCCCTTTAATTTTTAAATTACGTTGTATAGAATTTTGAATAGACAGCCTGGCCAGTTGCTGCCACGGTCAATTCATTTACTCTATTGCTTTTGTATATAATTATATTATCTTGAACATATTTTGTTTAATATTAGACAACTTTTTATTTAAATGCGCAAAATTATAAATTAAATTGTCAGAATTCGTATACTCTAGTTGTTACGTAGATAAAGATACACTGAATATAAACAACGTAAAAAAACCTGATTAATACTAATTTTTTTTTTAAATGTATAGACCTCATACGGAATATAATCATGATAAGAGTCTGAAAGAATTAGCTTTCAAGTAAAAATATTCATATAAAAATATATATAGCTTAAATGTGTAAAATTAAAAAGTTACGTAAAAAACGGAATAAGGATTAGCTTTCTTATGATAAAAGAACTAAAATAATGGACAATAACATACTTTTCCGTACGAAAATGTCAAACCAAGAATACTAACATTTGGTGTCTAAGTGTTTGGATTTATACACGGAAACTAGTCATTATTCAATTTCTTCATTTAAGGCATATGGGACAAACTCTGGTCTCTGTAAGACTTATCATTAAATTGTTAAATGATTTATGTCTGTCTTCAAACAATTATTTATATGGTAGTACATTTTGGTAAGATTAATATAAATCTGTTTAAACCCGTCACAGTAACCACACTATATAAACGATGACCTATTAAAAGTATTAAAATATCACAAGTGAAAATTATTTTTATACGCATGTCTCGTAATCCAGCTAAAATATCACTGTACAAAATATTTGCGTGCAAAATTCATATTTAATAGTTAGATATGAACTACTACTTACCATATACTGTGGTAAAAACCAAAATAAAACAGCAGAAGTACCGTAAAGACTCCATCCCCCCTTATTTGTCTGTTAACCAATGTGATACACAAATAAATGCAAGTTTTGTTTATACAATCTAATCACATGATCACAGTTATAAATAAAGGTCACGAGATAGTATTGATTACGTTCAATATTACACTTAAATCCTGGTGCAGAGCTGAGAATTCAAATATATAATCAACAACTGAACTACGAGTTGACGTTTTAAATATATTTTTAAGACGTTTTCCAGGTCATTTTGACACAATGACACAGTGATATCGATCCATGACACACTAACCAACATTCTTTAAATATAACCGCATTTAATTTATTAAATGTAAACATTCTTAATGCTAAGGCATTTTCTCGAATAGCAACATCATCTTTTCAATGTATTCCTAAACGTAATTTTTTTCAGAAATGTCACTGCATTTTCTTCAGCAGTTTTGGTATGACGTAAAAATCTCTATCTGTGTTGATAATGATTACAGTTCTTAATTGCGGTGGAAAAGATATAAGTATATTAAACGGCCGCTAGTACAGAGCTACGGCTAGTATATAATCAGCTTCTTATTGCATTTTGCAACTGTTTGATAGATGTATACATTTTTAAATTCTATGTTATCGTTAAAACAAGTAAAAAAAAATCATCAATCTAATCATTTATATATTACAAAATATCCTCATTTAAAAAAGGAAAAAAAAACGTTATTCAAATTTTCGTATTTTCTCAAACATGATGGTAAGTTTACAAGTCCAGTGATAGACTTTAAACAGAGTATCTATAACTTCCTTTTTTGCCAAGTGCACTTTAACATTTTAAGAGTTGTAATTTCAAGTTGGTAATGTGTCAATTATACGTCAACTGAGTGCATCTAGGTGATTTTCTAGATGGTTATGTATTAAACTTCTCAATTAAGACCTATAATTGTAAACTTTTCATACGTTGTGACTAGGATGGAGAGTTGTCTCATTGGCACTCATACCAAATCTTCTTATTCATGTTGTATGTATCTAGATACAAAGATAAATGTACCGTATTTTAATTTTTGTATCAAGTTTTTCAAATAAAAATAACAGTGACAGCCGAATCAACAATTTATGGTTATAAAACTGAGTGAGTTATGCTTTCCCATATATTATATTATAACAAACGGTACCGCTACAAGACGCCGAGTTAGGTTCATGTAGTTCTGGTTTTTTATAAACGAAAACAAATGGATTCCAGGCAAATGTAATGCCTGTCCATTTATTTTCAAGTAGAAAGGACATAGTTCTAACTTTTTCTTTAGTTAACTTAATATAAATTTATAGAAAACCTATCAAGTATATGAAAGTTTCTATGTTCTAGCAGATAACTAGAAAGGACATTGTTCTAACTTTTTAGCTCACCTGGCCCAGAGGACCAAGTGAACTTTTCTCATCACTTGACGTCCGTCGTCCGTCGTCCGTCATCGTCGTCGTCGTTAACTTTTACAAAAATCTTCTCCTCTGAAACTACTGGGCTAAATAAAACCAAACTTGGCCTAAATCATCCTAAGGGTAAAATGCATTTTTTGGCTTATATTTCTGATACTAAAGCATTTACAGCAAATCTGACAGGGGTAAAAATGTTCATCAGGTCAAGATCTATCTGCCCTGATATTTTCAGTCGCATTAAACAACCCGTTGTTGGGTTGCTGCCCCTGAATTGGTAATTTTAAGGAAATTTTGCAGTTTTTGGTTATTATCTTGAATATAATAATAGATAGAGATAAACTGTTTACAGCAAATTTGTTCAGCATAGTACGATCTACAAATCAGACCAAACTTGTCAATTGACCCCATAAGGAGTTATTGCCCTTTAAAGTCAATTTTTAACAATTTTTCGTAAATTTTTGAAATCTTTTACAAAAACTTCTCCTCTGAAACTACTGGGCCAAATTAAACCAAACTTGGCCTAAATCATCCTTAGGTATCTAGTTTAAAAAAATGTATCCGATGACCCCGCCCATCAAGATGGCCGCCATTACTAAAAATAGAACATGGGGGGGGGGGGGGGGTAAAATGCAGTTTGGCTTATATCCCTGATACTAAAGCATTTACAGAAAATCTGACGGAGTAAAAATGTTCATCATGTTAAGATCTATCTGCTCTGAAATTTTCAGACAAATCAGACAACCCGTTGTTTGGTTGTTGCCCCTGAATTAGTAATTTTAAGGAAATTTTGCTGGTTTTGGTTTTTATCTTAAATATCATTATAGATAGAGATAAACTGTAAACAGCAATAATGTTCAGCAAATTACGATCTACAAATTAGACAATATGACCAAAATTGTCAATTGACCCCTTATGGAGTTATTGCCCTTTATAGTCAATTCTTAACAATTTTTCTTAAATTTTTGTAATCGTTTACAAAATCTTCTCCACTTAATCTATTGGTCCAAATAGAATTAAACTTAGCCACAATTTTCAATAGGGTATCTTGATTGAAAAATATATCCGATGACCCTGCTATCCAACCGACATGGCCGCCATGGCTAAAAATAGAACATAGGGGTTTACTATAGAAGTCTATGGGAAAATTGTAAAAAAATAATTTCAAATGGTCACAACTTGAAAACTAATTTAAATAATGATAAGGGGTCTTCAGTAACTATTGTAAGTCTACAATGGGATGACCTGCTTTTAATTTAACTACTGGGCCAAATTAAACCAAACTTGGCCTCAATCCTTATTAGGGTATCTTATACTATTTATTATGATTTTAACCTTATTCTACATAATTTCCAAAACCAAAGTAGATATAGTGAGCGACACAGGCTCTTGAGAGCCTCTAGTTTTTAACTTGATAGAAATTTACAGAAAACCTAATAATAATAGAAAAGTTTCTATGTTCTAACAGAAAACTAGCGTAATAATTTTACGTTCCAGCAGTTGTGAATCTGCCTTTCCTTCCATAGCACTTGTTTTTGACTGGTTTCTAGTTGCTCAATCTTTAGATTTCTATGTTCTATGTAACTTTTTTGTTTTGTGAACTTGTTTGTACTTCCGTCGTCTTTCTTTTGCATTCACATTACCAATAAAATGACTTTTTACTGGTGTTCAGGTAACATGGTTTTGAATTTTGAGATTTCTGAAATAATGCTGTACTAAATCACTTGCTGAACATATGTTATTTCAGATATATGATTTGTTTAGGCCATACACCTCATATTCTATGAAAATATGCAATCAAGTGACGAGTAGGAACTTGCCAAACAAAAACAAAAAAGAAAAAAAACCCAGTAAACTGTACAAATATTACAATATGAGTAATTCACCCAAATATTTATATTTTAACTCATAGTTTCCGTTGCGTTTTTTTTTAATTAAATTTATATCCACATGTTGTTGTTTTATTTTCACAAGTGCCTCAGTCTGGGAGAATCTGATTATTTATTAGGTGTAATTGGCTTTGAACTAGCTTTTAGTAACTGTGAGTACTCTTATATTGGTGCTTTGTGTCTATTGTTTTTTATGTTAGTATTTTTTGTGCTTCGTACCAATCTATTGAGTTAAGCCATTTATAACTTATTTTTACAGTTTGTTCTTATGTTGTGATGTTACACTACGGTTCAATGTTAGGGGGGTTGAGCACTCTCAAATATGCTTAACCCCTTCACATTCTTTATTTGCCTGTCAGGAGCCTGTATTTCAGTGGTTGTCATTGGCTCATATCCGTCATAGTTGTGGGGTTGTTTTGTTTTTTTGATATTGTGATAAGTTAGGCCATTAGTTTTCTTGTTTGAATTGTTTCGCATTTTTCCTGTCCGGGACATTCATAGCCGACTATATGGTATGGGGGTTTTTTCATTGTTGAAGGCCGTCCTGTGACCTATTTTTGTTTATGTCCACGTCATTTGAACTGGCAATCATACCACATCTCCTTATTTTTATATAGTTGTTTTCCATAGAGTGTTGATTTACAGTTTGTTCAAGAAAAATCATCAGTTTATCTTTTAAAAACATCAAGCAGTACTCATTGATATTTATTTATTTTACACAATGGCTAAAAATTTGAATCTGAATCCCTGTCTTCTTCTGGTAGGTCTTTGAGGAAATCTGAATTCTGCAAGCAATGGCATCTGTTTTACATGTTATAAATAAATCTCCTCATCCTCACCCACCTGTCAGATATTAACTGGAATGACCCAATGGACACAGAAACTGTCGCTGTGATGTTTTTCTTGTACTTAACTCAGGTTACATCCTTATGACATGCACGTATTCACTCAGGTTACTTTTTTTCCTATTTGCATTTGCTTGGGTACATGATTTTGATGCAAGGGTGGCTTGATCTTCTACTCGTTCTTGCAATAATTCAAATATCTATATTACCTAATTTGTTTACATAACTATTGAATATTGGGGGTAATCAAAGGTGGACTAATCATTAACTGGGAATACTATCAGCTCGGTGTTTTTTGTCTTTTGTCTTTATGTTTTTTTGTCCTTCGTTCCAAACTAAACAAATTTAAACATAAAACAAGCGTCTTGAAGAATTATTTTACGATGCATTTACAATATTAGTCATTTCTCTCAATATAGAAAAAAATCTGTTTGATGATTAGATAACAACTAGTTGGATCAAATAAATGGCAAACTGTGAATTTGTACATCCGTAATGGCACATTATAGATCATGTACAATTATACGGGATATCACTATTTGTTCAAGTACGTATATTTTTGCAATTCAAATCGAGTAATTGACAATGCCTTAAATGGATAACAGGATCTCAAAATATAAAGTTAAACACCCACCACGACCACCAACACCCGACTCCTCCACCTAGACGTAATAAAAAGGACCAACAGCAAAGAGGAACACATAACCACGGTAGTTTGACCTGTATTATGTGTATATTGTGAGCTGCAAAAAAATAATTGATTCAAATATCTTCACTGTGGAAAATTTGATACTTATTTTACATACTTGCTCATACTACAGTTTCAACCCATAACATTAAATTCACGAAAAGGTTAAGCATATGTTAAAGTTATGCACCTGATACTATGGGATTGTTAAAGGTCCTTAAAATGCTTCTCTACCAAGCACAAAACATTTTAGAATAAGAGCAAAAACGTGTTGGTTAATAGTTGGTTGCAATAACATATCTAGCTGACAGCAGACTGCTGCTACCTTGTTAGCAATCAAGTTGAAGATCTGGCTGTGGTAGCATGTCGGTCAAAGTAGGGTATATTCATATAATTAACATGTTATAATCCTGGATTTGCATGCACTGTTTACCACTGGCATTAGCCATACATCAATCAATGAATTTTATATACTAAAATCACATGCACACAACTACTGCCAAAAATTAAAAAGTTTAGAATTATTGTTATGGTTTGTTTTAAAGGGCAAGTTACCAAATTACCAATTGTAATATATAAGTTTGATTTTCAAAATATATCATTTTGTTTAGTTTAGGGGTTGCATCACTTGAACAACTCAATCAACTAACTTATTTTAACCAAATGCATATTTAGATATTAGGATATAACAACATGCAATGCCACTTCATTGCCATAGATGAGTTTCTATGACAGATGGGTGCTGGTCAGGGCCAAAGTTTCTAAGTTTAAGAACAGCATATATCAGTAAATGTCAATGAACAGTTATGTTATCTCCATAATCACATTTGTGAATTTGCATTGACATTTGCTTATATGAAACAAACAATCAACTAACTTTAAAGCTTCTTTATAGATAATGATTTGTATCTATGATGATGCTTGCATATCATTATATAAATAACACATAGCTGAGAGGGTGATAGAGTAGATTGTTACCCCGAGAAAACATTGTCAACCGCGGCGAAGCCAAGGTTGACAAATCTTTTTTGAGGGGTACCAATCTGCTCTATCACCCTCTCAGCTATGTGTTATCTAATTTATTATACTGAATGTCCTATCATTATTGTCTTTTACTGATTAATTTTATTTTAAAAGTATTTTCTATGACGTCACGTATACATAACAACGTTACGGGTATTAGAAAAAACAGCAAAAGTGAGGCAAGATGTTTTTTTTTTTATTTTGACAGTCAAATAATAAAATCTGAGCCAAAACGTAGAACTTAAGCATTGTATTTAATTACTTGATGTAAATTCTATTCATTGTCCTTTAAATTATCGATTTTTGATTGGTCTGGACGAGAGGGTGACATTCAAAAAAATTGTCAACCGCTCAGCCATGTGATAGAGTAAATTAACACCCTCGTATTAGCCAATCAAAATATGGCATTTTAACGTGAAGTATAATAAAATCTAATGTTTAACGTTGTTTGAAACAAATTGAATTTTTTTAGCCATGGCGTTGTCAGTTTATTTTCGACTTATGAGTTTGAATGTCCCTCTGGTATCTTTCGCCTCTCTTTTATATGCCTTTAACTTCTAAGAGTTTAAACTCATACTAAAATTCTGTACTACCCCTTCTTTTACTTTGAGTCTTCCTGAGAATTCAATTTGTCCACTATCTAACACTATTTATAATGATAAAAATCCAAAGTTCTGTTTCAAGATGAAACATAGAGATCGTACCTGTTAAGCGGAACATACCTAGCGGATTCTCCTTATTGTGTCAGTTATTAATTTGTTCTCATCCTGAACATGCATGAAATAATTGCAACTGGACAAAAACACAGAAAAACCAATCAATCATATGTCTTGATACTATGACCCGAAAAGTGTTCGTTCAAAGTTCACTTCTAGGATTTTGTATATTTTTATAATTCATGCTTTTTATTATCATTCCGAGTCGTCATTGGTTTTTAATAATTCAATTCATTTGCCGCATGTCAATCAGTCTTTTGAATTTGTATTTTATATTTGTTTTTATGTTTGAAAAAGATGGATGCGAAATAAATATGAAAACTTTCCAGCGACTTGGACTTTATCTAAGATACCGCTAGTTTTCCCCCGAAACTAAATGATATGACAGAGGTGACCAATAACCTGGTCATATGACCAATACAACAAAATAAGGGACCATTCAACTTTGGACAGGGATTATATTTTTCTTTTCATTTTCAAAAACCATGAAATTATTTGTTATTTGTCAAGCAAAGTGGATTTTTTGTTTAAGAACTTAAATGTGTTACATTAAATTTAATGGCAAATATTCTCTAACAGAATTTATTTCCTTTCTCCCTGATAAAAATATATTTTTCGTACAAAGTTGGGAATTATATTTTTTTATTTGTTTTAAAATTACTTTTATTTGGAAGATATGCATAATGTCAGTACTAATATAAAAATGAAAAGATGTCGTATGATTGCCAATTGCAATGAGACAACTATCTGTTCTCCCTATTAATGATAAAAAAGACAAGGTGTAGTGTTCCTACCTAACTTAAAACTTTCAGTAACTATAGTTTTTAACAGTAACTTAATCGTAACTCGACCTCTTAATTTGCATCTTGGAAGTAACTCAAAGTTTGATTTGAAGATTAACTCGAACTAGAAGTGGAGTTCAAACTTAACTTAAACTCTGACTGGAAGTGGTATGTGAATGCTCACTTGAACTCGTAAAAGTCGATGAATTAAGTCACCCTGACTAAGCTATATCAAATCGTAATTACTTCTTCATTCCTTATGCATTATCTTGCAATTGACCTTTTAGTTAGATAGGCCGGTTCAACATGGCCAATCTACAAAAAACTACAATGTCTTCTGGTCCTTTGAATATTCTCATTAAGAAAATCTAAGGTAGAAGAAATCACAATTGACTCCTGCAAAAAGAGTGAGAAGATACATATGCAGCAGTCATACATGGCAAGAGGCAGCCACAGCAGTCATGCATGGCAAGAGGCAGCCACATCAGTCATGCATCTCAAGAGGGCAACCACATCAGTCTGTTTTTCAACGGACTGTCTGGTCATTGTCAGTGTGTTAATCAGTGTGGGAAATTCAAATTTGCATGTTCTCAACCAGCCGTGGGGGAACCCGATTACAACAGAAATACCCATATTAAAAGAGAGGTGGAAGATATCAAAGGGGTATTCAAAATCAAAAGGCGATAACACACTGATAACGCCATGGCAAAAAAAAGAAACACGACCAAAAGACAGTCTACAAAAACAACATAAGAGGCTCTAGAAGGGTAAGCAGATCCTGTTCCACATGAGGCACCCATCGTGTTTAACTGTGTATTGAAGTCATTAGTACCTTTCCATACATTCTATTGAACATTGGAGTAATCAAAGTATGTGAAATGCATTGTTTTGTTTGATAAATCACAAAAAAACGCATGACCAATAGCACTTTAGATGGAACAAAAAAGTACAGATATTGCATATTGCACGAATCTGTATTTTTGTCAAATTAATCAGTCAACGTTTTAAACATTTCTCATGAAATACTGTTACATTTTCTGTTGTTTTTTTTAAACTTCATCAAATGAAAATCAAAAGCAGAATGTAGAGAGTTGCCTACGTTTTCATAAACAGAAAGCTAGCTACAATAAGGAAAGTAAGACTATGCCGGACCCAAAATACGCTACCACATTTCAGGTACAGATAAATCCTCAGACGAATACTTGTTTTTCACAATTATATGCTTCACGCTTATTAACTTCTGCGGGCAGCAAAGTGATATGGTTTCCAGAGAAAAAAGTCAAAACTTTTGTAAGAAATTATACATTTCACAACCCCTAACAGCTTTTTAGTATGCATTCATATTATCGTAAAAAGGTATATTCTGACATCATGTTAAAGCTAGGTTTATAACAATAGAAAGTAAAGGACTTCAGTATGCAATCATTTATATCGAATGGCGATTTATAAACATAAGATTACCTCAAGAAACGCTTCAGTAAATGTTAAACAGGAAGTTAATTTTAATCAGAATTTCCCTTTGGCAGAAAAAGGTGTGCACTTGATTCCATACGACGGAAACAGGTAAGCTTATGGGAGCCAGTTAGAGATAGTACATAACATAACGTGTTCTAAAGATACCGTATTGGGTTTTGTATAAATTCTACACAATTAACGTTCGCAGTTTTCTTGAGAAATATATACACATGAAACATATATAGACCATTCTCGTAAAATTCAAGTGTGTTTTGTTACTAAATATATGTAGTGATAAGTGTAAAACAATTATGAATTTCGATTATACAATAATCATGTCGAAAAATTCAACAATAATACGTTAAATTAACTCATCATAAATTAACTTTAAAACTAGAAACAACACGTAACGATTTTTAAAGAGTACAATTACACTTCCTTTTTGGGCTGCAATACAAAAAGATTTTATTTTCATTGATCTTTTACAGGGTGTTTAGATTTTAAAGTTGGAAGTGAAATGATATAAAAAGAATATGGATCTATCGTTAGTGCCAGAAATTTGTATAATCATTTTGACTTTGATTGTTTTTCTCGCGCTTGTGCCGCTATGTTTGTCCGCACAACACAAATATTCAGTAATTTTTATCAGCATTATTATAGTTGAATATGCATTTGAATTACTCCGTGTTTTATATTTCGTGAAATATTACTGGAATTCAACACATTTGTCCTTGTATTTTCTTCCCGTAAAACGTATGCCTGCAGTTTCGATGATTTGTTCTGAACTACTCGGCACAATAATTTTGACATCCCTCCCATTTAAACAATCTTCATTAACAGTCGCTTGTTTCATCTATAGTTTATTATCGCTGACATTAATCACAGTATGGAACAATTTGTTGGGAACATGCTTGATAACGGACAAATATTCCTTCTATGCTTTTGATGACTCACGACTAAACACAGCTTTTTACTGTTATGAAAAATTGGATCCTTGGACGAGTGGTTACTTTCTGGAATATTTGCTATTAAGTATTCCTACTTTAGCAGTACTGTACGACAAACTATACAAAACGTCCTCATTATCTGGTAAGTAATCGTTGAAGTTTATACGACCTTTACTTGTACATAACCTCTAGAGCAAAACTTTTTAGGGTGCAAAAATAGGTTGAAGTCGTGGTTAGTTTCTTAGCTTTTATGAAATATGACAATAAGGAAGAAAAAGGGTACTTCCTAAAATTATCTAGTAAAGAAAATGGACTGATTTAATTTCAATTTATTTGTATTTCAAACCTCATCATTGCCATGATTGAGAAATCATTAGACGAAAATACTTTCCGGGTTATTTTTCAATATTGATGAGGTACTAGTATGATGTTGCTTTGCAAAAATCTTTTAAATCAATTGCGGAGTAAAAGAATTAAAGCTATAACCAATTAATTTATCATACTTTTAAAAAAATTACTATTTACCTATCTAGCTCTTTCTTAAGTTCGTCTCAAATATATTGAAATATTGGCTACTGGACGTTAAAAAATAATAATCAGACAATTTGTTTAATCGTAGTGAAATATGAAAGCCAAAAATCTGAAAATAATCGTAAAAATGGCACCTTTTTAGAGAAACTAAATACTCTAATTTTTATTTAATGGAATAACAAAGCAAAAGCACTTTATCTCAGTCTGATAGCAAAATCATATACTATTTCATGTATCTAATCATACTCTATTTGATATCTTGTATTTTCTATTTCAGAATTGTGGTATCCTCCTTCAAAGGAAACATGTCCTATCTGTCGTATCAACATCGTACTTTACAACCATATATTGGCGCTGGCCCTCCTCATGATTTGGTGCGTCAGACCGACTTATTTCTTATTTATTGCATTTGGATCTTCTTTCCGTGTTGCGTCTATTTATATTGACTTATTTATCATGATATCATCAATGTCATGTTTTATTCTGGTTTTGATGAACATTCTCAGGTTTTATCTTTTTCGAAAAGTAGAATTTACGGTTGATAATGAAAGCGAATATAACGATGTAATCGAAAACTGTGGCTTACCTAAAGAGAAATCCATAAAATGTGAGCAAAATGACTACTAAGAAAAAACTTATCTTTCAGTATGTTTTCGAAATGAATAAAAAAAAATATCATTAGCACCTTAAGCCTCAGATTTCCCAAAATATCATTTGTCCTGTGGCAGTAAAAAGTATGCAATATGGTTAAAAATAAGTCTGAACTACAATGGTTTATGATATCGCTGATATGGGTACCCAAACATATGTTCTCACAGTATTTTTAGTATTGTTGATCAATTTATTTGTATAGATCTATCCATTTGTGAATCTATCATATCAATTATCGAATAGGTTGTGTATATTTTTTAATTAAATGATTAGTTTTCATTGGATTTATTATAATTTGGTATAATCTTTCTTGGCGTCATTGTCAAATTTACTATCTTTTTCACCTTTTCTCATCACTTGGTGTGCGTAGTCCGTCGTCGTCTGTCGTAATCGTCCATAAACTTTTACAAAAATCTTCTCTGAAACAACAGGACCAAATTTAACTAAACTGGGCCACAATTATAATTGAGATATCTAGTATAAAAATAAAGGCAACAGTAGTATACCGGTGTTCAAAAGTCATAAATCGATTGAGGGAAAACAAATCCGGGCTACAAACTAAAACCGAGGGAAACACATTAACTATAAGAGGAAAACAAAGGAACAACAGGAACACTGAAATGCAATAAAAACAAACGCTAACATACATAGAAACGAACTATTTGATAACAACTGCCATATTCCTGACTTGGTACAAGACATTTAAAGAAAAAATGGAGGGTTGGACCTGGTTTAATGGCTAGCCAAACCTCCCGCTTTGTGACAGTCTTAAAAAATATCGCTAAAATGACAACACTACGTGACAGAAATACAGCACAAACACACGCAAGAACATTCATCAAAGAGAAACGAACAAATAAATAATGTAATAGTCGACACAACATGCAAACCGCAGAACAACAGCGAACATATTCCATCAACGACAAACACCACAGGATATCACAAACAATGACGCGCTTACGTAACTAACATGCAATCTCGAACTTTATACAATTATTTTCACAATACTCGTCCAATCAATTTTCATGACAATGATGGTATTGAAAGGATATTTTATAATTATTTGGACTACAAACGATAAGACATAACACATTATCCAACCAAAACCATCAAACATCAATAATAGATACATGAATGTTGGATGTACAAAATACCAAGACACGTCGTATAGCAATGCACATTCACACTCGGTATAACAGTCATATTCTGGAATATGATAATGATGGTATTGAAAGGCAATTTTATAATTATTTGGACAACAAACAATAAGACATAAAACATTATTCACACTCGGTATAACAGTCATATTCGGGAATAGGTCACGTTCGGTACTTAGCAGACAGACGACATAGATGTTAGACCACAATCTAAGACGTGGTAAAAATGTCATTAGCTAGTTTAGACACAGACACATCGTATAGATCAACCAATTCGTGATGGTGTGCATAAAATTTACGGAGTGTCATTTTTAATCTTTCCTCCTCATAACTCTGTTGGAGCAGTTGTTTCTGCGTAAGGAGCACCCTCTTGTGTATGAAGTCAGTATAGTGTGAAAATGCTCGAGCATAACGTATCAATTGAGATATGTAAACACCATATGACGGAGCAGAGGGTATGTTACTGCTGAGAAATGGGAAATTGATAATTTGGAAGTTGAAATCATCCCGTTTGTCATAGATTTTAGTGTGAAGTCGTCCATCTGTGTCAATATTGAGGAAAAGATCAAGGTATGAAGCAGTCCTTCTTGTATCAGTATTATCCTTAATTTCAAGTTCACTGGGATATATGAGATGCAAGTACTGACTGAAATATAAAGTGTCCTATACACTGCTTGCCAACCAAGATGACCGACATGGTTAGAAATGAAACATAGGGGTAAAATGAAAGTTTTGTCTATTATTTTGAAAACTGTTATAAATGGAGAAAAGCTAACAAAACAAAAATGTTCAGAATGCTGAGCTCTACCAATTGTTTATGACATCAAAACTGTTAGGCTACTTTTTATAGGAGTTTTTGCTCTTGAAAGACAAATTTTACCATTTTTTTTTTATCATTTTTGCCTTTTATCTAGTAAACTATAATAGATAAAGAGAAACTTTAAGTTGCAAAAATGATCAGCAAGACAAGATCTACGAATAAGTATGATTATTGAAATTGTCAGTAGGCTCCTAATTAAAGTTATTGCCCTTTGATGACAATTTTTCCCAATTTTTTGCGCTTTTGGTTTGTATCTTAAAAATTATAACAGATTGATATAATTTAAAGAAGCAAAAATGATTAGCAAAACAAGATCTACATTTTCCGGCTACTCCTTATCGTAGTCATTGCCCTTTAATGATTTTTTTAACATTTTTTTTTTCCGTTTTGCCTGATATGATAAAAATTATAATAGATACATAAAAACTTTAAATAAGCAAAGCAAGTTCCACAAACAAGTCAAATTTTACGGATATAGTCAGTAGGCTGTCACTCTTTATAGGAGTGATTGCCCTTAAAAGAGCATTTTTTAGCCTCTTTTTTGTTTTCAGCAAAAACTAAAGAAAATAGAGAGAAACTTAACAGACAAAATTATCAGCAATATACTAGATCAACATCAAAGAAATATTGTCATGAATTTTATTCTTGTCTACAATATTGTAGACAGTCGAATGTTGACTATGCACATAGACCTAGGTGAGCGACACAGGCTCTTTAGAGCCTTTAGTTTGTTGGCGTCTTGGTTAGATTAAGTTGAATGTTTGTTTGAAATTTTTTGTCAGTTGTGCTGTATGTCTGTGATGTATGTTAACCCCCCACCCCTCACAGTTTTTGGCTGCTGGATCCCAATAATTATGTTTGTTAGGGTTATTCACCCAATTTTATCAATAAATCGGAACTATAAAAACTGCCATAAAAGTGGGAGGTTATGCTAGCTATAAACCAAGTTTGAACCCACCATTTTCTTCGGGAAATGCCTGCTCCAAGTCAGGAATATTGCAGTTGTTTTCACCGGTTCCGTTGACTGATAGCGTTCGATTTTGTCAGTTTTTGTTGACTAGTCATTTTTTGCTTACATGGCCGAAAGACCAAGTGAGCTTTTCTCATCACTTGGCGTGCGTCATCCGTCGTTGTTGCCCGTCGTCGTCCGTTAACTTTTACAAAAAATCTTTTCCTCTGAAACTACATGGTTAAATTTAACTAAACTAGTACTCAAGCATCATTGATGTATCTTGTTTTAAATATGTGCCCGATGGCCCCGCCTGTCAACCATGATGGCCGACATGACTCAAAATAGAACATACGGGTAAAATGCAAGTTTTGCCTATTAATTTGAAAACCGCTGTTAATAGAGAAAATATGACAAGGCCAAATATGTCCAAAAGGTTGAGCTTTACATATTGTCCGTCTATGTCAAAACTTTGTTAGACGACTCCTTGTAGGAGTTAATGCCCTTAAATGACAAATTTTACCATTTAAAATTTGTTTGCCTATTATCTTGAAAATTATAATAGAAAGACATAAACTTTAATGTGCAACAATGATCAGCATGACAAGAGCTACATACAAGTTATCATGACCAAAATTGCAAGACGACTCCTTATTAGAGTTATTGTCCTTTAATGACGTTTTTTTGCGTTATTGCCTAATATCTTAAAATTTATTATTGATAGATAAAAACTTTAAAAGCAAAAATTATCAGCAAGACTATTTCTACAAATTCGACAACATGATCGAAATCTTTAGTCGATTCCTCATTGAAGTTATTGCCCTTTACTAATTATTTTCTACATTGTTCACAGTGTTGCCTATTATTTTGAAAAATGTAATCGATAGAAAGTTTAAGTTGGCTGGGGTGTCTTCCTCCATGTTGGATTTTGAAGTAGCAGTTAACAATTGGTCTAGATTTTTAATGTAGTATGTAATTTATGTGTAAGACTTTTCATGTTAATATAGAAAATTATGTGTTTATCATATTTACGGCTGTATTTTTTATAAAAAAAACCACAATATATTTGTTTGATTCATTATTTAAAAACTTTGCCACATAAGGGGAGAAAACTCAGATAATAGGGGAGATAACTCAGATAAAGTAATTTTTATAATAGAAAGTGTTTTGAATTCGATTATTTTAATATGTAGCAAGAAAACAAGTCCGGTGATCGCATTTTTTTAATTTTTTCTTATCTGAAAGCATGTTATAAGAGCTATCTTCTCACATTTTATCTTAAAATTCTATGGTGTAGTTTTCTTTTTATCACACAAAATTGGATTTTCCATGCATAATCTATACAAAATCTGACGATTTTGCACAACCTGTAGCATGAAAAAGTCCGGTGACTCATAATTTTTATTATATTTTTGAAAAAAGCATGATAAAAACTACATTTTGACAACTTATTAAAAAATTCTATGGATTTTAATTAAAATCCCCATTCACCTTCAATAGCATGGTAAGATCTTTAAATTTGTGAAAATGATTGAAATAGTCAGTTAACTCTTATTAGAGTTATTCCCCTTTAATGATGATTTTTACTAAAAAGTAGCCATTGTTGAAGTTACAGGTGGGCGACAAAGGCTCTTTCGAGTATAGTTTGAATTTTCCTTTTAGCTCAGTATTTTTGTTACAGCTTTTCTTAACTCTCCTTCACCAGGAACGCCAAAACCTAAACATAATCTGGGATGCACAAAGAAGGAGAAACTTTAAGCACTATAGGATCAAAAGAGATATAAAATGAATACTTGTACCCGAATCAATCTAAGGTCAAATTTGTTTATAGCAGAAATAATTATCAAAATTGGTTCGACACAAAAAAAAATAATAAAAAGCAATATTGAAATCGCCAGGCGACTCCATATAGAAGTAACTAGCCGAAACTGTTAAATTCGGGCCATTGGAGTGTTTTACCCGGTATCTTCAAAGCTATTAAGGATAGTCTGAAACTTTGAACAGCTAAAATTATCAGCACCACACTGTCTACTTACAAGTCAATTGAATGAAATCGTAAACCGACTCCTAACAAATGATGTTGCTCCTAAATCGCAATTTTAACCTTTTTTCTTTCAACTTATTATCTTGAAAACTTTCATGGATGAACCGAAAATAGGTCCAGTCATAATGATTGCCAAAACAAGATAATAACACACACGGTTTTAACACAAATATTCTTGTTGTTTGCAAAAAGGAGAGCAAGCTTCCAGTTGTTTGACTGAGGCATTTTTATTACCACTTGGTATCTTCTCCCTTTTATAAACCTACTTTGGCTTATAGTTTTTGGTTCACCGTTTGGTATTTTCGTACT